CTAGAAATCAGCTAACTGTTTTAAAAATTGCTGAGGGCAAAAGGTTGCTATGCACAGGAGACATATTGGTTCAAGCAAGTTTTCACTCATTAGTGAACATGATCCAAACCATACAATAATCAAATTAACAAGGGCGTTAATTTTTGAATCATATCCATGGAAAAAAACAACTGACTAAATATATCTGAGTTTCCATTGAACGTACAGTGAAAATCCAGCACATTGACCTTTAGATGTTACCACCATGTAAGTATTAATAATATATCTGTGCACAAGTAAGTACTCTCAGAAACAATTTTAGCCACTTGTTTTAAAGGTGCTGGCAAGATCCCTTTTAATATATATCGGCTTTTGTATCTGGCAGTGAGAATGTCAGATCCTTGGAGGCAGAAAGAGCATGAAAGACTAAGAAAACCAATGATTCAAACTTGAGCAGCACTAAATAGCCATCACCACCATGCACTGCACTGAGGAAAAGGCAATAGAAGGAACAGAATAAACAGTAAATGGCTGGAGAGGAAATCTTTTATGGCAAGATGTTTACAATATATCCCATCATAAGGAAATCTCTTTCTTCTCTCCTAATGCACAACATATGTGGAATTCTCTTTGAAAATCTGACTGCATTACAGCTAGAGACTCACTCTTTTTTTCTTTGAAGTATTTCTAATATGTAAATTATTCCTTTTCCCCATAATGCAGTATTGCTATTGATGTTTTATAAAAGGACATTAATATAGCTTTGACTAAATAATTTTTTTTCCTTGTCGCATTGGATTCCAATTTAAATTTCAGTAAATATCTGTTTACAATCATAACACATAGGTGTTTGGCTTCCTATTGGAAAATGGAAAGATGTGTGTATAAAAAGGGTGGCAGGCAGAATGGAGGGAGGGAGAGAAAGAGACTATGTATTGATTTACAATTTTTTTTATTTCTTCATATAACTTAGGAAATAGCTTTATTAGGACCAATCAAAATGTTGTAAAATAGCAAGCAAGTTCTCAGTTGTTCTGCATGGTTAAAAAAGTTAAGCAAAATGTAGATGGAGGAGAGGATTTGTCATGATGTGGTTAGCAGATATGCATTTAGAGGTAGCAGAGATGATTCTTTAAGAAGGGGGTGAGCAGCAACAGAGGAGTCCATGCTTCATGGTTCATTAGACAACTGTGAACATTGCATGGATGTCACAATTACTGAAACAGCCTCTTCTAATTTAAAGTTCTGGCACTCATTATCAGAACAAATCAGAACAGTAGTATCTATAATACCGTTGACAGGATGTTCCTTACCTCATAACTTTAAAATCTGTGGACTTCAACTTGCAGAATTTCCCAATCAGCATGCGCTGGCTGGAGTATTCTGGGAATTGAAGACCATGCATCTTAAAGTGGCCGAGGTTGAGAAACACTGTTCTAGAGCCGTTGTATGAAAGCAGCCTTTATGAGGGTAAGGCACAGGGATACCTGGTGATGTTATGAAGATGCTATAAGTTGATAATAGAGAAATGTATGGAGATAGATAGTGGAGCAATATGTCAAGGTTGTTCCCTGTTCTAGAAACAGCTAGAACTAATCAGAAGAACTTTTTTAAAAAATTGGAGAAATGGTTGTCCACAGACAATGCTACTAGTGTGTAGTCACTGAATTCTCACAACTTCCTTTTCCAGGCTGGTTGTTTAAAAAAATGCAACAGAATGATATCTGAGTGCTTGTAAACCTATTTACTTTTGTAATCTGGTTCTAATGGAATCGAGAGAGAAGTATTTTTTTTTTTTGAGATTTAGAGCAACTTCAGAAGTTTCTGCTGAAAATATTAGAGAAAAGGTTATTAAAACTTTTGGATTGGGTTGTCAAAGATACAGAGGCAGAAATTGATAACGTATATAGAATAAATTCAAGATTTGCAAGAATAAGAATTGTCCTAAGGATGTTTGTTAGAAAGAACACATAGCAACAACTTTTTGCAGTGCATTTTAATATAAGACTGAAGACGGATAATGCAGATGCAAAGAAATTCCTATTAGCATCTTGCATAAAAGAAGAAAATATTCTTTTTTGACTGAGAGATTGAAACAGAAAAAGATTCAATTTCAATGGGACACATTGGAAGGTGTGATTTTTTACTTTTAAACAGTAGGAATCTCAACTGAATTCTGCCCAGAAGGCAAGGGGATTTGTGGAAAATTTAAAGATGAATTGGGGAAGATTCAAATAGAGCTGTAAGGGGAAACTACACAAAAGCTTCAACAAGCATGACAGGAACCTGAAAGGGATGATACTGAACTAGATGCCACAACTTTCAATTTTTGTAATTTTTTTTGGCTTAATTATGGATTACAAATGCTTAATGTGTAATATAAATGAAACAAATATTCATCAAAAGAGAAAAAAGTTTTGAAAAAAATTAAAACTAGATATAATTTGCTGACAAAAAACACATATTAGAAAACAGGACAAAATTGATTATAAAATTTTGGGTGTTTTGGGTGTTTTGCTAAAAAAAGAGAGAGAATTGCTTTATATATAAAGCCCCAACTAAAACCAAAATTTATATTGACTGATAAGCATAGCAGACTTTTTTTTTGGGGGGGGGGGCATGGAAATTAATCTGCATGGATGTAAGACTTTGGTATCGGAAATGTATGTCCCAAATGAGGATAAAATATTGTTTTATAAAAGACTTATGGAGACACTAATAGGTTTCTCTTATGCAAATACTTTAATGCAAATCTTTCAGCACAAGAAGCATTTTACAGATGAGAAATTGTCTAGAATGCATTCAGGCACTTCAAATTTATGTTGGAAATATGAACAAGAAAGTAAATTTTATTATGTTTAGTATGTAAAAACATAGAAAAATTTGGATTCAGCTACACACACTGACTTAAAAGATTTTAAAGATTAATATACAGTTTCAACCAAAGGGGTTTGGAGGGGGGAATTGATGGACGAACAAATGCAAAAATGTCATGAAACTTTATTTTGTATATGATAACTGCAGCAAGATTATTGTATGCATAAAAATGGAAAGACTGGCATTCCTCACAGTGGAGGTAGTTGATGAAGATGATGAAACTTGCTGAGATGGCTAAACTGACTTGGTTTGTTATGAGAAAAGACAGTATCTATGATTATTGCTGGAAGCCACTTACAGACTGAGTACAAAAGAAAAAATGAAGTTGTGATTTATGGTTTGGATAATTAGACAGGACCCAAGGTGCAGGCTATGCAGAGACCTCAGAGATAGTCCAACACATAGTACCAGGATGGAGATGCAGGCAGGAACAGCATACACTGAATGACTCAACTAAATAGTTGGCATTGTGTACAGGAACATCCACACAATATATGGGCCAAATGAGAGATTCCACAGAAAGTCATGGAGAATCAGAGGACTAAAATGTGGTGGGACTTCCAGAACCAGACATACAACTAGGTACTAGCAATTCAACCAGACATCTTGGTAGCAGACACGGAATGCAAGGTAGCAGTGGTGACAGATGTAGCAGTGCCCAGTGATAGCAACATCAGAAAGGAATATGAGAAACTGGAGAAGTTCCAGGGCCCAAAGGAGGAACTAGACAACATACGGAAAGTAAAGGCCAAAGTGGTCCCAGCTGTGGTAGGAGGACTTGGAACTGTGACATCTAATCTGGGAGAAGAAATCACATAGATTCCCCAAAATGGCATCAGACCTCTCTGTTCAGAACTCTCCAGCGCCCAGGCTGTCTTGTTAACCAGAAGCCTTCTCATAAGTTGGCTACTAGTACTTTCAGATCAGTGATTGGTCAATTTCTGGTCAATCCGAGACGGATAGTAGAGCTTGCTGACTAGTAGCCTAAGGTAGCGGGCCTGGGCACACTTTCTTGCTCAGCCAAGACACACTTCTGGTTGCACTTTGCAACACCTCACCTTCCTTTCTTGATGCAGCAGGACCTGTTTTTCTTTAAAAGGATGTGTCAGCTACCCTGGAGAGCAAGGAGAAAGGTATAAATGAATTAAATTCTCTGCCAGGAACAAGAGAAAGCCTGCGCCTGTGGCCAAAAGGGCATCTTGCTAGGGCAATCTGGTGCTGATGAAAACCGCAAGTGAGGAAAGCCCCAAAGGCAAGTATTGCTTTTAACATTAGACAAAGCAGATCAGCCTCCTGTTCACTGCGTCCGAAGATGGAGACGCCAGTAAAGCCAGCTGGCTTAATGAGCTCTTGGCACAAGGTCTGCCTAGTATTTACCGCTCGCGCAGCAGCTGCACGAGGAGCGTGGCAGAGCAGCCATCTGCACTGCCAGCGATGGCTATTTCTTCTCGGGCTTCTAAGCCAGACGTTTGCAAAAAGTGCCTCAGGCTTTGCAGCGGTTTTCCACAAGGCAACTTCCTCCTTCGTTCCAGGCATGAGGGGACGCGCTTACTTTTGAGAAGGAGCGGAGGGAGGAAGAGGAGGAGGAGGAGGAAACAAGGCGCCCCCCCCCCCAAGCAGGGAGCAGTACATATAATTTCTTTTGAGGGGCGGCTGGGGGAACCAGGCAACGCTTTGGTTGTCGGGCTGGCGTCCATCCGCAAGCAATATCGAAGGGAATCGTGGGGAGAGATAAGAATCTGGCGTGACGTCAAGGAGGAGCTTGGCAAGCGGAGCTGCTCCGAGGCACCGGGGCTCTTTGGCGCGGCGTTGGTGCTCCGGCAGCGAGCGAGGCGAAGCTCAGAGCTGCGTCTGGGGAGTCTGCTCGCCTGGGAAGGGTGCGCGGAGGCTTTTGCGCGCGGCGAAGGAGAGACGGGGCGAGGGAGGCGGGAATCCAGGAGTGCGGGTGAGAGAAGAGAACCTCGCGGGCGCGCTTCTGGAGCGAGGGCGGGGAGATGGCTGGGCAGAGTGAAGCGGTGGGTCAAAAGAGCGGCCGGGGCGGGAAGAGAAGTAGTGGCAAAGGGCGACAGGGTGGGTGGGTGGGTGGATGGATGGGTATGGAGGCAACTGGTAGAAATGAGGATAGCCGAAGAGTGATGCTGGAGCGCCCTGGACGAGTGAGGCGGGGAGAGAATGGTGAAGGAGACCGGTACAAAGACGGATTTTCGGAGCCGGACGAAGCATTAAAAAGTACCGAAGTTTTCACTTATCCCATTCACTTTGGTTACTATCCTTCAGTTCTCCCCTCTCTCCCAAACTTCATCGGTTTTTGACTGCAGCCAAACCAATGAGGTCTCTTAATAGCAATTTACAAGCTAGTGGCTTAATTTTTGTGGACAAGATTTCATCACCTGCATAGAGAAATATCCGGAGATGGACCCAGGGATGGCACTCCTATTCCATCCAGTGCCTCTCAAGAAGGGGATAACACTCCATCAAAGCTGATGCCATAAAAAATTGGGCACTTCTAGAATCTTCATAGAGAAAAGAATCTCTCTCTCTCTCTCTCTCTCTCCCTCCCCCCCCCTCTCTCTCTCTCTCTCTCTGTTTAACATTACAGAACTTTGGAATTTATGGAATTTGTCAATTCAGGAACAAGGGATTAATCTGGAGACAGAGCACTGTGGATGTGTGTGCTTTGGGGCACAGTTGGGAAGGAATGGCAGAAACAATGTAGAGATGTATATTGGTGTTCATCCTTGACACCTGTTTTCAGCATTGAAATACAGTACAGACCTGGAAGAGAGATTTTCTGCTCTGATTTCAAGTATTTCTCTTGGTTCAATGAACAACCTTATATATTTTTATATGTTAATGTTATATGTTAATGGACTGGTCTATCTGGTTTTATTTTTAGATTATTTTTCTTCTCCATAAATCACTGTTAATGAAATTTTACACAGGCTATTTTTATTTGTGGGTAGCCAGCTCTAACAAAAGGCAAATAACTTCTGTATAATAACTTGGCGTTGAAATATTGACAGCAATGTTAGTCATTTATGGTTTTATTCTTGATAAGAGAAAAATACTTGCTTAGCTAGATAATATAAGGAAATAGTCAAGCAGAAGCAGCAATGACACCCATGAAAATGAAGAGAAACAAATGTAGCTATAGTGGAGGTGGCAAATTATGGAATCATGTTCTTCCTTAAAAAGAGTGCCATGAAAGCAAAAAGAGAGAAAAGTTTAAAATTCTAGATTACATTAAAATATTGTTTTTTATGTTTTCCTTATAAGCCATAATTTGAGGGAGCTAAACCATGGCTTGGCATGAATTCAGTGTGCTGAATTGGCTCCGAGAGAGTCGGCAGTCCCGGAAATTAATCTTGATGATTGTCTTCATTGCTCTGCTCTTGGACAACATGCTGCTGACTGTAGTGGGTACGTAAAAAGTTCCTGATACTATAAATATTGTAACTACTTTGCTTCTGGGTAGCCTTAAGTTTCTGCATGAAATGTGTATGCCTGTGCATGTGTATGTGTACATGTGCCTGTGTGCGTATCTGTGTATGCTACATCCTTCCTTTGTGGTTTTTCTAAAACAAAATGGCAGGAAAGATAAAAAGTTGGCTCTTTCACCCTTATTTGATTAGGGTTTAGGTTTTCTGTGTCACAACAATTAGTCATTACGGAAACAGCAAGAAATTGAATTAGCTTGGTTTGTATATATGAACATTGATCAGAGAATTAAACATTGCGTTCTTATCAAAGGAAGAAATATTTTATTCTAAAAGGACTATTATAAAGGATTGGCTTCACATCTACTCATTCTATAGGAAAATCGTAAATTTGGTATCTTCTTTTATTGCTATAAGCCTCTGTTTTTATTCAATGGGGGTGAACTGCTATTGTTTATTGCTCATGCAGCAATTGGCAAGACAGTAACTCTTCCAAAACAGGTGTCAGACTTTTTAGGTAAACCAGATAGGAAACCCCAATCAGAGGAGCTAATAATTCTACTTTATTGCAAGGTTACATTAACAAATTCTTGCAAGTCTGAAAGTACAAATCTTCCACCCTCTCCTTTTCAGCCTGAGAAACAAGGGATTGTCCCTCCTGAGCCTCTTTCTCCTCCCATTACTATGCAGTTGTAGACCAGTGTTTCCCAAACTTGACAATTTTAAGGCATGTGGACTTCAACTCCCAGAATTCCACAGCCAGCATTGCTGGCTGTGGAATTCTGGGAGTTGAAGTCCTCATGCCTTAAAATTGTCAAGTTTGGGAAACACTGTTGTAGACGATGCCTTTTGTTACCTGACCATTCTCTGGACAGCATTTCTTTGCCCCAACTCTCAAGGTCATTCTCACATATCATTGCACAGGGAGCATTTCTTCAATAAAAGAATGATGAAGATGAAAAATCATTCACAGAATTAACAAAAACAAACACACAAACAAAAACCTTTATTACAGAAATGTCCTCCATTTGATGCCCCAGATTTGACAATTCGAATATGTATTTAAATCAGAACGAGTCCAATTGAATAATTTTGAAATCTGCCGTGTATAGAAATTTAAACAAATATCAAGTTGTGTTAATAATTAAGCATTTTCATAATGCAAATCATGGTTTTGTATATACTTTTTCATGAAAATGTATCATACATTAAAATGAAACCACCGTTTTAAACTTTTACATGTCATTACTTATCTTCTCTCTGTCGAATGAATTGGGTGGATTCATACATAGTGTATAATTATGTCTGCTCTAACTAGTTTGAATTTCCAGGTTTAAAAGAACCCAAACATCATTTGGAACTCTGTACTTGCTTTTTGTCTTTCCATAGGTTTCACTGTTTTATTTCTATTTCTGTACTAGAGTTTCTATGCAATTATCAAGACAAAATTAAAAACAACATAGAATTCCAACTATAGACTCCAAAATAATAACAAGTGTTATTCACCAGGGGCTGGTCAGACTTTAATATCCCCCAAATGCTTATAGTTCATCAGACTCTTCAGGCTGATTAATATCCTAAATGTAGTTTGTCAATTATCTCTGAAGTCTGTTGAATTATGCATAAGCATGAACAATTCTTGTTTTTGTTCCCCCAACTCCATTCCCATAATGAAGATGGCTGTTTCTGCATTGTTATTGTTTGGTTCAATATAAAGTAGCATACTTTAGCAAACCTGTACCAATGTACCAGGAACTATGTCCATTGATTTAAATGAAGCTGATTTCTGAGAAGACATACGGGGAAAAGCTATGCACTTAAGAAATAGTTTGTAGCTGTCAAATGGTTTACATGTTTATTCAGGAAATACATAGAAATATTTTCATAACATATTCATAACATATTTCATAACCACTTGTTAAAATTGGACTTTATTATGGCAATTTAAATTTGTTCTGATATAAAGTAAATCTTCACTAGATGTTGTTTTTGCAGTGTAGTTTGTAAAATTAAATTTGAGATCCATAAAATGGAATAAATAGTCTTCTTGTTCCTGTTTCTCCTGCTCTTATGCAGAAGTAAATTTTAATTTTCCCTTGTCATGCTTTGACAACATGATTTTCCAAATAATTTAAGTTTTGCAAATTAGCATCATCACTCCCTCCTTATTTTTCTTATCAAGTGTTCCCATCCATTCTACTTTCACTTGCTTTTCCTGGTGGAATAAGCCTTTTTCTGCAGTTTTTTTTTTCTACCAGCAAGTGTGCTTATTTGAACAGCTATATAAATAATAGCCATTTATGGCTTTCCTATCCACTAGGTTTCCTCTAACAGGAATTGATGATGCTCTGACATCTTAGCGTTTTTATGTGTTTGATGTTACATTGATGTCAAAATTATCTTTTAGTTTTTGAAGCATGGAAATATCCCTTTCTAAATGATTTCCAGTTACGTACTTGCTGAAGGCCATTCATTTATCTCAACTCAAAGGTTTCCTGAATAAATAGGATTGTTTACACAGTAATTAAATCCAGACATTTGCAAAACATGATTCATTTAAATGATTGATAATTTTGTTATTAATATCCCCTGCTAAATAATTTTTCCTCTTATTTTAAAAATCCTCATTTTATTTCTCACACATTTATATAATTAGGATGCTGTTAGGAATTTCAACCATATACAGATTGCCATATTTACTCATTTTCTTTCTGTTTCCTTAATTTCCTAAAATAATTACTATCTCATCTGAAGTATGTTGATTTGAAATTGAACAGGATTTATACAGGACCATTAACCTGTATGTAATTTATTAAACTGTATCAAATTTCTTTTCTTGAAAAATACCTGTTATGTATACTTGTAAAGAATGTGTGAAGGAGAGACTATCTACCTTAATATTGTCTCTGTTAATTGCAAGAACTATTCAGAATATTAGATCTGAATCTTTTCAAGAGCTACTTGGAATCTTGGATGTTTCTGACAAAAATAGAAAGCTAATTACTGAGTTATTAATAAAACCAGAAGTGCACATTAACTGAAATTAATGTGGAATACTAGTTAATCTAAAATCTTTTCTGGTTAATGAAGATTAGCAGTCTAAATCCAACCCTAAATAAATATTTTTGATTCTTGTTCTTCAGGGATCAAGTAGATTATTTTATAGAATGAATACAAGAATAATTTTACTTTCAAAATTCTTGAAGAAATGTCAAATGTAATCAATTGTATTTAATTGTTACATTGTGTTCCAGTTACAAAAGTCAAGACTAAAAATATGATTGTTATTTATTTCCTTATTTATATTTTATTTGGCAGTTTTACAAAAAGAAAAATAAGCTTCTTTTACTGAAATAACTAAAAGTATAACAGATACAATAGTAGTTCCTTGAATTCCGTTATGAAGAGGGGAACTTGTCCTTTTTCTGTAGTGTTTCCTGGACAACTAATTGGTATCAATATTGAATTCATTTACATATCAGGTTATTGTTCTTTTTATATGCCTAGTACAGGGGTAGGCAACCTCGGCTCTTTTGTGACTCATGGAGCTGACTCGGGAATTCTGGGAGTTGAAGTCCATGAGTCATAAAAGAGCCGAGGTTGCCTACCCTTGGCCTAATATTTTGTTTCCAGATGAACTTTATAGAGACTGATTTGTCATTGTAACCTTTCTGCTTCTATGTTTGATGTTTATTGTGTTTGTTCTAATTAGGATTTTTATTTGATGTTTATACCTTGCACTGGAAATAATTGCTGTGGATAAAGGACATATAAATGAATAAGGGCATAACATGCATATGATTTTAATCTTTGATTTTAAAGGATTGGAAGCATTTTATTCAAATCATAGTTATATTAATGCCTGGGGCATGCAAAAATCAGCTTACACATAATGTTTAATATCAAGTTTTTAGATGTTTTTGCATTTTTAAATTCAACTCCCTATTTCCGTGGTGGCGAACCTATGGCACGTGTGCCATAGGTGGCACACAGAACCCTCTCTTTGGGCACACGTGCCATCGCCCCAGTCCTAGGCCTTCAGCTGGGCTTTATAAAACCTTTTTGCTTTAGGCCTCCGCTGCCGTGTGCAAAAAAAATAAAAGGTTCAATCAATCAATTTCAACTTCTCGTGGGAAAAAAAAGATCTTGCAAAGTTGGAATTGATTGAACTTTTTAGTCCCACTCAGTCTGCCATTACCACTGCAGCCACGCCCACCCAATGGGCCACACCCACCCAATGGGCCATGCCTACCCTGCACCCATAAGGGTTTTGGGATGCAGTTTGGGCACTCGATCTCTAAAAGTTTGCCATCACTGCCCTATTTCAACCATATGGGGAATACTTTTGCAGAATTCTGAGGAAATTGGGGAAGACTTGAATATATTTTTCCTCAATTCTATTAATCTTTTTGTTGAAATTTGATGTTGGATTGAATATTTTAAGAAGAGACTGGACAGCCATTTGTTTGAAATGGTATAGGCTTTCCTACCTGAGCAGGGGGTTGGACTAGATGATCTCCAAGGTCCCTTCCAACTTTACTACTACTATTACTATTATTATTATTATTTATAAATCTTATCACATTTTTTTCATCCAATATAGAAAAGAGTGAGCGGCTGCTTGAATTCTAATCATTTTATGAATGAACTTGTAGGTTTTTCTTTCTTCATCAGTATTCTTGTATAAATGGAAACAAACTAGTTGAATAGCTATGTTTTCAAATTTTTTAGAACTATCTTATAAACTAAACTGCCTTGATTATGATACAGCTGGTTTTTGTGCTTTATTAAAATAATAATAATGCTGCATAACAATATAAATATGAAATGCATTTTCAAATATCATGCAAATATTAGAAGATGTTATGAATTAAATTAAATTAAATTGAAATGATAAAACAATTCACTTATAAAATTAAATATGAAGAAAATTGAAAAGTCTGGACACAGGTATCAGAGAGTACAAAATTTGATCAAATTTAACTGCTTTTCCTAGCTTCTCTGTTGACATAAAATTAATTTGATAAAACCAAACATAATAATTTCTCCATGATGAAAAGTTCTGAAAACTAGCTATTTTTTCATTCATGATTTTTATGAAAGAAAAGATGCAGCCTTGTGCTTATTTTTGTTATGTTTAATAATGACATGTGTATATGCCTTTATGTGACAATTGTTCTCTTTTCGTTTTCAGTGCCAATAATACCAAGTTATTTGTATAGCATTAGACACCCCAAAAATATAACGGATGTCCAAACTATTAGACCAGAGACTCCTTTGGTCAACCCGAACAGATTGCACAGCATCTTTTCTTATTATGACAATTCAACTATAGTTACTGGAAATAATTCTGAAAGAGCAAGGCCAGAAGATGATTATCATGCTCAGACAGAGCAAACAGTGATCAATATAACTACGACAACTCCATCAGACTGTCCAAAGAAAGACAAAGAATTGGTGAATGAAAATGTAGAAGTTGGTTTGCTTTTTGCTTCCAAAGCAACTGTCCAACTCCTTACTAACCCTTTTATAGGACCAATGACAAACAGGTATGTTTTCTTTTTTCCTTACGTAATAAAATATATTTCATTTGTTCTATTTACCTGTGTATTTGTTTTTTAGAGAAATAATTGCTTTATTATTTGTGTGTTTTATTAATTTATTGGTTGCTTTCACTGATACATATTATTAAAATGAATTGCTAATAAACCTGCACTATATCATCGCTAAATAAGTCAGTCTTCTATTTACCATCTATTTTATTTGAAATAATTTTCAACTTTGTTCCTTCTCTGCTTTTTGACTGGCACCCATAGATAGATGTGTTTGTAGAAGGAGTAAAACTGTTGCAAGCTCTTCAGTAATAATATGGAAGTGGTGAGTGAAAATTATGCACTTCCTTCCAGCTAAGCTTTCAAATATATTTTTATTGTAAACATATTTATGTAACTTTTCAAAGAACACCCTCCTAAGATAGCTTGTTGTGCACTTGATGGTGCAGTGGTTAGAATGCAGTACTGCAGGCTAACTCTGCCCATAGCCAAGAGTTCAATCTTGACTCAGTCTTCCATCCTTCTGAAGTCAGTAAAATGAGGAGCCAGATTGTTGGGGGCAATATGCTGATTTTGTAAACCATTCAGAGAGTGCTGTAAAGCACTATGGAGCGGTATATACAGTGCATTCAGAGAGTATTCAGACCCTCTTCACTTTTGTCAATGTTGTTATGCTGCAGCCTGATTCTACAGTTGTTGAAATTCACTTTTTTTTCATTAATCTATACTCAATACCCCATAATGACAAAGTGAAAACAGAACTTTTGAAATGTCTGCAAATTTATTAAAAGGAAAAGCTGAAATATCATATTAGTATAAGTATTTAGACCCTTCACTCAGTACTTCATTGAAGCACCTTTGGCAGGAATTACAGCCTCAAGTCTTTTTGGGTATGGCATGACAAGCTTTGCATACCTGGATTGGGGGATTTTCTGCCATTCTTCCTTGCAAATCCTCTCAAGCTCAAATCAGATTGGATGGCAACTGTCAGTGGGCAGCCATTCTCAGGTCCCTCCAGAGATGTTCAATAGGGTTCAAGTCAGGGCTCTGGTTGGGCCACTCTAGAGTTGTGAGGGTGGTTTCTCCGAGCTTGTGGGTTGGTTTCTGAACATTTCGTTACCAAGTTAAGTAGCATCTTCAGCAGAGTTTAGGGGATGTCAGTGTTAATGTTCTTCTGTTTATAAGGGCTTCAGGTGTGTGTGTATCGAGTGAGGATCTTGTGATGAGTCATGTGATCGGTGAGTGTGAATCATCAGTGAGTCTTGGATGGGTCTTGTGATAGGGAGGTTACATCAGGTCAGGATCATTGGGAGGTGAACTGCTGGTGGGAGGGGGCTTGCATGGGTTGATTGAGGGTTGGTGCTGTCTTTGGTTGGCCGTGTGGTTGATTTTGAGGGGTTCATAGGCTGGTTGTAGGTCGATGTGTCTCTTGATGGAATTGCTTGTGGAGTGCCAGACTTCAATGAACTCATGAGTGTGGTGGGTAGTAGCATGGCTGATGATTTTTGTGTTACTCCAATCGAACTGGTGCCATTTGGTGTCGGTGTGGATAGAGATTAAGGATTTGGGATTGTGGCATTTGTCTGCCAGCTGGTGTTTGTGGATCCTGGTTTTTCACTGATGTGTTCCACGTAATTTTCTTGGTTACTGTTAGTTATCTAGTTGTGATATTGCTTTGTTATTTTAAACTTACTGAAAGAATGGAGTAGATTGGTGAGGCAGAGCCCAGCATTTGTGCTTTTTCATAAGGCACCGCAGCACATGATGATCTATTTTATGTAATGTAAATCAGTTTTTTTAAAGCCATTATGATTATTATTTTATTATTAATTATATTTATACAGTATATGTTATATAGGATGTCCCACCATATTGACTACAAGAAATAAAACCAAAGCACATATAATAGTAAAGCTGTATCAAAAGCAATAGCAATTTTAGCAGCCAAATTCTCAACTGAAAAGTCTAAAATATTAGGAAATCAAAAGTGCAAGGATAGAATGAACCCTAAGCCTATGCCTTGCTGTTATTTAAAATAAAATAAATAAAATAGTTGTTTTAGATGAAATAGCAGGAGAGCAGGATAAGATTTACAGGGCACTTTGAATATTAAAATCTGCTAAGTATTACTGTTCTGTTACTTTAAGAAAGCAGGACTAATTTTTATTCAGAGTAATATAGGAAGTCTGGCTCACATTTTGAATGGGCTCACAATATATGGATGGAAAAGTCTAATGCAGTGGTTCTCAACCTTTTTAATGCCGCGACCCCAACCAGTAATAAGTCGAGGACTACCCAACCAGTCGTAAGTTGAGGACTTTCCCTGCCCGGGAGTGCCACGCATGTGTGGTGCCGCCCCCTGCGCTGGCTGAGGCGTAGCTGGCAAGCAGCAGAGACGGCGCAGGCCGACCACCGGCTGGGCCACCAGCTGGCCCAGCCCAAGGGAGGTAAGGCACCCGCTGGGCCCCACGCGCGCCAGCAACCCTCCCTGCATCCGCCAGCCTCCCACCTCCCACCCCGGTCCTCTTTTACTTACATTTTTAGTAGTTGCTCAGCAGGGAGGGGTGGAAACTTCCAGACAGCTCGCCTTTGCTGCAGACAACTTGCAGCACCGTTTGCAGAATGGAACTTTTGGCGGGCTCAGCAGGGCAGAGACAGCCTGGACAATTCCTATTGGCTTTTGAAAGCCAATAGAATTAGACTCTATTCAAGAGAGTCTATTCTATTGGCTTTCAAAAGCCAATAGAATAAAAGGGAGTAGCACAGCTAAGGAAAAGGGGGGAAAAAATGGCGGACTGCGTTGTTTGGCGACCCCCGTGAAATGGTCGTTCGACCCCAAATGGGGTCCCGACCCACAGGTTGAGAACCACTGGTCTAATATAAACATACAGATCCAGGAATGGTTAGGTCTAATTTATGTAAGTATGTTAGATGCAACTGCATGTTCATTTGAATGTGAGATCCTCTTGAGTTCAGCTCAGCTCCTTTTTTAAAAAGTGTTTTTTTTATTAGAAGAACAGTTTAAGAAACTACAGCAACATAAAAAGAAAAAGTAGAAAAGGTATAAAGGAGTGAAAAAAGTGAAAGATAATAAAAGAAAAAGAAAGAATTCAAAAGGAGCACTTCTGTTTTTTTGGGGGGCAATTATAAACATAATAATTGACATTTCTCCCTCCCCTTCTGAATTAAATATCATGGTTTCCTTCTTCCCTTATACAAACCTTTTTAATCAATGAATACTGAAATCACTAGTTTGTGTTTATTCATTTTCAGCAAAAAAATAAATAAATCATAAAGTGTTTCCAGTCTTTTATAAAAGTAAGTATAGTTCCCTCCTTAGTTTAGCTCAGGGATAGTCAACCTTGGCTCTTTTATGACTTGTGGATTTCAATTCCCAGAATTCCTGAGCCAGCTAAGCTAAGCTAAGCTGGCTCAGGAATTCTGGGAGTTGAAGTCCACGAGTCATAAAAGAGCCAGGGTTGACTACCCCTGGTTTAGCTAAACTCCTAATGATTGTAGCTATGTAGTTTCCTTAGCAGGATTACCAGAATGGTTTGCCTTTTCCCCTTTTTAATGGTTCCCAGCAAAACCAACCATGCTGTGATCCGAGCAGATTAGAAAAGACTGGGGCAACTGTGGTGGAAAAACCATTGTTGCACAAACTTGTCTGTAAGTTTCCTTCTTTTATTTTCATGGGGTGCAAATCATAGTAAGTTGTATTTATATCATTTAGTGCTGAACTGATGTTTTGATGAAGAATTAACAGAGAATGGCCTCAAGCCTTACTTGTTTTAGCATCTCATGCAGAAACATCTCCTGAAACACCAGAGAATATATGTGTACATCTCTGTATTCCTTCTATTTCTGTATTTCTCTAATGGTACTAATGCATTATTGATACGTGGTTCTGTATGCTAAGTTAATAAAGTTAATTGTGAGTTTTGATTTATAATCTGTAGAAATTTGTAAAGAGATTTCTGATTATCATTTGGGCCCATGCAGAAGTCATAGGTTTGCATCACAATACTCTCACAAAGGTCAACCACCATTGGCTATAGTATTATGAAGTCTTGTTTCAATATTAAAAATTTTGCACTATTGTATGCTGTGTTTTCTCACTGAAGCCAATTTCTTGAATGCAATTGTACATTTGTAATATATAACAGACAGAGTTAATTGAAGGTAAGAACACGAATTTGTTTCATCCTCGCTGAAATAAACAAAACTTGCAATCTGGCAAAAATATTAAATTCTTGTGTGCTTTCACTCATTTTACATGAGCAACATGTCTTCAAGATGCTTGCCCCGTCAAAGTTCTTCTCTGACCTTCAAAAAGTTGCCTAGCTCTGTTACAAAATATTATTTTCAGCTTCCTAAAAAAAGGAAACAGCTGTTGTAGATATAGAAAAACATACATAAAAAGTCAAAATTTGGTATTTTCTTTTCCAGGATAGGCTATCAGGTCCCCATGTTTGCTGGTTTCTGCATCATGTTTATTTCAACAATAAGTAAGTGTTGTTTTTCTCCTATATCCCCAAGTATTACAGAAGAGAAGGAGAGATGGGAACAAAACACTGTTTTGAATTGTCAAATCTGGATATCCTTTGGTTCTAAGAATATATGAAGCTTTCACTAGATAACTGTTGGTTAAAACATCAATGAAGACAAGACTTCTTTCCACAGATTCTAACTGTGCCATAATGATGTAGTGTTAATATAGCCATTCCCTTTGCCACTGTTGCTTAGGGCAAGCTTTGAGCTGAAATGTTTTCTTATACAGTCCATACCGTTGAACCAGAAGGGAGAGAGTGTGTAGAAAAATAAGGCACTTTAATCTTGCCTTTTCTTACTTCCAGATGAAAAGCAACCATAGCCCAATGGAAAGAGGAATGGCCTTGAATGTCTCTCATTCATTGGAGTGGTTCTTTCAATTGAATTATTCTATTTATTATACAGCAATGTCTATTCCCCACAGAGGCTTGGAAATTGCTTGTCCATTTTTAGGGGAAAAAAAACTAAACCAGTTAAATTGTATCTTGGCTATGGGAAGGTATTGTGAAATATTGGAACAAATATTGCTTTGATAAGAAGCTTTCTACATTTATATTGTGTCACCAAGAGGCTAAACATTTTAGTAATAATAACTCTAAATTAAATAAAAGAAAATAATGCAGTTAGCATTGAAATTCACATGATAGTTGCAGAAATAGATTAAATGAATGTTAATCATAGAGTATATAAAAAGCTTTAACTTTTAAATTTAGATCGAATTAATCCTTTTTTTAATGCTTTCTGCTCCCTTCCCCCCCCCCCAGTGTTTGCCTTTTCAGAAAGCTATAAGTTACTCGTGATTGCAAGAGCTCTCCAAGGTGTGGGTTCATCTTGTTCTTCTGTAGCTGGTAGGTTTCTAACATGTACATCAGCATAGAGCCTATTGCTGTTTATTCTTTACTAAGGATATGATCAAATTGCAAATCATTTTATTGTTATTATTTTTATACAATTAGATGAGGTCTCTAATTATAAACAGCACTGAATTTCTTAAGAATGAGTATGATGTTTTCTTCTGTTTTTAAAAACGTTAAACATTTTTTCAGATTGGGTTAGTTTTAATACGTACTATGTCATTTAGAGTGTGTTGCAGACAATCTAGATTTCTAGATGGAATTCTTCACATTTTTGAGAATTCCAGATTATATCCATTTTCCTTTCCTGCATAGCACTTTCTGGTAAAGGGTTGCAAAGAAAAGAGCAAGTTAAAAAAAGGCAACTCTTTCCTTTATTAACAGCCCCGTTGCCTTAAAGAGGCTACGTTGGAGAGACTTCTCACCCCTCCCTCACTGATTTTAAGAGATTTTCCAAAGGACAGTTTATTGGATATGTGAAGATAAATGTTTCACAGGTGATTGTTCATATCTTAGTGTAATTTCCTGTCTGCCGAAGACAAGTCTAGTGATTTTTATTTTGCTTTTCTTTTTATGCAGGGATGGGTATGCTAGCCAGTGTCTATACCGATGATGAAGAAAGAGGCAATGCAATGGGGATTGCCTTGGGAGGCTTGGCCTTGGGGGTATTAGGTCAGTATGGCAACATTCCCTGGATCAGAATACAGGTAGTCCTCGGGTTACGACCGCAATCGAGTCCAAAATTTATGTTGCTAAGTGAAACATTTGTTAAGTGAGTTTGCCGCATTTTACGACTTTTCTTGCCACAGTTGTTAAGTGAATCATTGCATTCATTAAATAAGTAACATGGCATGTTAAGTGAATCTGGATTCCCCATTGACTTTGCTTGTCAGAAAGTCACAGAAGGTGATCACTTGACCTTGGGACACTGCAACCGTCATAAATATGAACCACTTGCCCAGCATCTGAATTTTGATCATGTAACCATGGGGATGCTACAGTGGTTGTAAGTGTGAAAAGTGCTCATAACTCACTTTTTTCAGTGCCATTGTAACTTTGAATGGTCACTAAATGAACTGTTGTTCATGAACTGTATGCAATTTTAGAAATTTTATATGCCTTTTTTTTTCAATCAACAGTGCTACTTTATGGCCAGCCCTTCTTTCTCCCAACTAAATGCATATTTAATTAGTCCCTCAGGCTATGAATTTTTTCAGTTACGTTACACTCAATGCCACTGAACTTATAAATACTAACATCTGAATAAAGGAATAGGCTATTAGATTAATTATTTGACTCAGAATTATTTTGTTGGCTTGTCAAAGAATTTAGTTGTACATACACAAAAAGAGAAGATAAACCCATACTATGAAGAAAGTTTTTACTTCTGGTGACCGCCTGGATAAGTCCCTGTTTCTTGGAACATTTTCAGAAATGGTTTGCCATTGCCTTTTTCTCAGGCAGAGAGGAAGTGACTGGCCCAAAGTTGCCTAACTAATTTTGTGCCTAAGGTAGGACTAGAACTCACAGTTTCCCAGTTTCTATCCTGGGGCCTTAATAATTACACCAAACTGTCTCTGAGTTGCCATACACTGAATACAGTATATAATTGTGTCTCCCTTCCATTTTCTAGTTTTAGATACTTAACAAGTAGCAAAGCAATAGTTGCCTAGACATACTTGAATTTTTATCATATACTGCTATATTTGATATATAATTGAAAAATGTATGGAGTATGTGCAACTGCACACTCAATAAGGCAAGCATTTCTGTGAACAGCTACTCCATGTCCCAAATGATTCCGTAGAATGATCTTTTTTTATTCCTTTCAATCAGCTGAATGTTGAAAATAAATTATAGATTAAGAACTGTCCGATGTCAGGATAATTATCTAAAAATAGAATGGAATGAGCCAAATTGGGTGTTGGGGTAGAAGAAAAATCAAGTTTGAAAATGAACCATATTTGGCTGATGGCTGTGGGGGTAAAAAAATCAAGAACATTCCCCTTTGAATCGCTATATGAGAGCTAGGTTGGGCAGTGGCTCTGAATGCAGCTGACTGATCTATCCTTCCCCTATCCCAGGGGTAGGCAATCTTAGCTCTTTTATGACTCGTGGAGTTCAACTCCCAGAATTCCTGAGCCAGCCATGCTGAGGGGAAAGAGAGAGGTTTCCAAGCTGAGCCATGCTGGCTCAGGAATTCTGGGAGTTGAAGTCCACGAGTCATAAAAGAGCCAAGGTTGCTACCCCTGCCCTATTCTGTCTTCACATGACCCAGTAGCCCAGCTATTTTAAGTTGCCGGAAAGAATCCCCAGTGCCATGGCCTTGCATGCTTTCTCTGCCTTGTTTTAGAATTAGATCAAAACTTTCCTCATTAAAAAAGAGCTTTTAACCTAAAGGGCAAACACAATATTTATCTACTTATAGAATTGCCCTTCATCATTGTTGATATTTGGCCAAATATCTTACTAGAATCTAAATATTTATGAAGAAATGTGACTTTGATGTGTTTTTTTCATAGTGGGTCCACCTTTTGGAAGTGTAATGTATGAATTTGTTGGGAAGGCAGCCCCCTTCTTGGTGTTAGCAGCCTTGGCTCTTTTTGATGGAAGTAAGTCAAAAAACAATTTGTCCTCAACTTACAACCACAATTGTGCCCCAAATTTATATCGCTAAGTGAGACATTTTTAAAGTGAGTTTTGTCCAGTTTTATGACTTGTCTTGCCACAGTGAATCATCATTAGGGGAATCATCTTAATTGTTAAGTTAGCAACCCAGTCGTTCAATGAATCTGGCCTTGACTTTGCTTGTCAGGGGGTCACAAAACGTGATCACATGACCTGGGGACCTCTGTGACCATCACAAATATGAACCAGTTGCCAAGCGTCTGAATTTTGATTGCATGATCTTACGGATGTTGCAATGGTCATAAGTGTGAAAAATGATCATAAGTCACTTCTTTCAGTACCATTGTAACTTTGAATGGTCACTAAATGAATTGTTGCAAGCCTAGGACTAATGGTTTCACATACAGTGTTATGATTTAATTACAACCTATAGAATAAAAAGTTCCTTTTTTGTTTTGTTTGCAGCAATACAATTGCTAGTTTTACAGCCGTCTAAGATACAGCCAGAAGTAAGTACTTTGACTAACTTTTTAAAAGAATGCGTATTTCACCCTTTTTATAAAACTCTTTTTTATTATTTTAATAGAGTCAAAAAGGAGCATCATTACTGACCCTCTTGAGAGACCCATACATTCTTATTGCTGCAGGTATTTTTGAATTTTATATAGTTGCATTTTTAAAATATATGGCTGTTTTCTGAATTTGAGAGGTCACTTGAAAAATGAAATAAAAAAAATATTTCAGCATTCAAAACCAGATACTCTCTACTATTACCTTCAGTGCTATTCCTTCTTTTCTTCCTCCTTCTCATCCTCCTCCCCCATCTTCCTCCTTCTCCTCCATGGATAAGTTCTGTGTTGCAGCTAATCACTATTTTTACTTTTGAAGAAAGGTTATTTCAGAGTTAGTGCTATTTCCAGGCCTTTTTTTTTTTTTAAAGTAAAATTCCTTTGGTAAACTCAGGTGGAATTGAATTCAGGACATTTGGTGAGTGGCAAGAGAATTATTCATGCTAATTAGGAATCACAAAGAAAATCCCACATCCCAGGTAGCAAAATTTATGCAACAAAGCTTTATGAATCATTCTTGAACTTCTCTATATGGTTGTCAGATTCAGTATAGCATTATTTTTTCTCCAGTGTTTCTTGAGAGGTCCTTAATGAGAAGTTTAGTGATACTGTATTTCCTATTATCCTGGCTTCTGATTTTTTTCTCTTACAACAGCAAGAACTGGTTATATTCTTTTTGCATTTCCAATTTTTAAACCCTCCTTTGCCCCAGATCTATACTATCTTTAGATCTCTTCAGTTTGATATCCCCAGAACCCATTATTTCTTCACAATTATCCTTTTTGATCTATGCTTTTTGTTTTCATGTTGTTGCTGTTGTGCAGTTTTCTTCAGGGCGATCTGAAGAAGTGATTGGTCACTTGTCCCAATTATCTGCCCTTAGCTTTTTTTTTCTGGAGATTTTGTGCAGCTGTACAGTACACATGTACATTTTAAGTGGAGTGAATGAGAATAACAACAGTACCTTGTTCACAGAATTTGCATCTAAATTGCTAGGCCACTTGAGGAATAGGACATACAAAACCATTGTACCACTTACTAAATAATTAGGAAAGGTCTCACAATTACAGCCATGATAACAATACACAATTATGTCTTTTCAAAGTACACTAAACTGAAATTGTATATCGCTGTGTTTGTGAAATACTACTGAAAAGTTTTTGAATTAATGCTTCGGAGTGTTGATTTACATGCAACTGGCCTCTTCCCAAGCACTTTTTGGTGTTAGAAAAATTAGGCTGGAAAATTTAAGTGGGGAACTTAAAAAATGGGGGAGATAATTAGACATACTTAAATATCATTTAAATTAAAGGAACATGTTTCTTTTGGAAGAAATATTAATTAATTTTAATTGTAACCTACAGTTTTCTCATTTTCCCTTTGTATTAAACTTAAAATATATATTCTTTATCATATTTCTTGTATGGAATTCTATTAGATATGCACTACTGGAGTGGGTTAAACCTCTAGTTGAATATATGAACTGATGTCTATTATCCTCGGTAATAATTCATAGCTCTTCCAAGAGCTTTCCAGTGATTTCCTTTGATTTTGTTTATATTTTCTACTGTCTTTCCTTTTTGTTTCCTTCAACCTTGTCACACAAATACTAGCTTCATCTACACAACTAAAGTATGTGAGTTTCTGTTTGCTGAACATTAACTTGAAGAAGCAGTCCAACCTTATTTGTCCAGGACCAATTAACTGAAACATACCCATGGACAGGCATAAAAGCCTTAAATGCTTATATACAAATGCTCAAAGCTTGGGAACAAACAAGATGAACTAAAAGCAATAGTACACGAGGGAGGGTATGACATAGTTGGTATTACAGAAACCTAGTGGGATGAAACCCATGAAAGGAATGGACTGATGGATGTACATAAATTGTTCAAAAGAAACAGGTCTACAAAAAGAGGAGGAGGAGTTGCACTTACAGTGGGGCAAAAAAGTATTTAGTCAGCCACCAATTGTGCAAGTTCTCCCACTTAAAAAGATGAAAGAGGCCTGTAATTGTCATCATAGGTAGACCTCAACTATGAGAGACAAAATGAGAAAACAAATCCAGACAACCACATTGTTTGATTTGGAAAGAATTTATTTGCAAATTATGGTGGAAAATAAGTATGTGGTCACCTACAAACAAGCAAGATTTCTGGCTCTCATAGATCTGTAACTTCTTCTTTAAGAGGCTCCTCTGTCCTCCACCCATTATCTGTATCAATGGCACCTGTTTGAACTTGTTATCAGTATAAAAGACACCTGTCCACAACCTCAAACAGTCACACTCCAAACTCCACTATGGTGAAGACCAAAGAGCTGTCGAAGGACACCAGAAACAAAATTGTAGACCTGCACCAGGCTGGGAAGACTGAATCTGCAATAGGCAAGCAGCTTGGTGTGAAGAAATCAACTGTGAGAGCAATAATTAGAAAATGGAAGACATACAAAACCAATGATAATCTCCCTCAATCTGGGGTTCCACGCAAGATCTCACCCCGTGGGGTCAACATGATCACAAGAACGGTGAGCAAAAATCCCAGAACCACAAGGGGGGACCTAGTGAATGACCTGCAGAGAGCTTGGACCAACGTAACAAAGGCAACCATCATAACACACTACGCCACCAGGGACTCAGATCCTGCAGTGCCAGACGTGTCCCCCTGCTTAAGCCAGTACATGTCTGGGCCTGTCTGAAGTCGTGTTTGGAGGAGAGAGAATGCTGAGTTGCATCCAAAGAACACCATACCTACTATGAAGCATGGGGGTGGCAACATCATGCTTTGGGGCTGTTTCTCTGCAAAGAGACCAGGACGACTGATCCGTGTACAGGAAAGAATGAATGGGGCCATGTATCATGAGATTTTGAGTGCAAACCTCCTTCCATCAGCAAGGGCATTGAAGATGAAATGTGGCTGGGTCTTTCAGCATGACAATGATCCCAAACACACCGCCTGGGCAACGAAGGAGTGGCTTCATAAGAAGCATTTCAAGGTCATGGAGTGGCCTAGCCAGTCTCCAGATCTTAACCCCATAGAAAACCTTTGGAGGGAGTTGAAAGTCCGTGTTGCCCAGCGACAGCCCCAAAACATCACTGCTCTAGAGGAGATTTACATGGAGGAATGGGCCAACATACCAGCAACAGTGTGTGCCAACCTTGTGAAGACTTACAGAAAACATTTGACCTCTGTCGTTGCCAATAAAGGATATATAACGAAGTATTGAGATAAACTTTTGTTATTGACCACATACTTATTTTCCACCATAATTTGCAAATAAATTCTTTCCAAATCAGACAATGTGATTGTCTGCATTTGTAGACCTCTCTCATAGTTGAGGTCTACCTATGATGACAATTACAGGTCTCTCTCATCTTTTTAAGTGGGAGAACTTGCACAATTGGTGGCTGACTAAATACTTTTTTGCCCCACTGTATGTAAGACAACACTACATATCTACAGAAACACACATGATCAAAGATAAAATCTCTCCTGAATGCATATAATATAAGAGAGAGAAAAAAGTGACATTACCATGTGTATATTACAGGCCACCCAACCAATCAGAAGAAATAGATGAACTCTTTGCCAACCAGTTAACAAATGTATGTAGGAAGCATGCCACAATAGTAATGGGAGACTTCAACTATCCAGATATCAACTGAGAGACAAACTTTGCAGCGAGTGGAGATCAAACAGATTCCTAACCAACTTAGCCGACAACTTTGTCATCCAAAAGGTGGAGGAGGGAACTCGGCGCAAAGCCATTCTGGACTTAATTCTAACTAAAAGAAGTGATCAAGAGAGTTGAAGTTGCTGGAACCTTGGGCGAAAGTGACCACATCATACTGAAACTTAATATAATGCAAACACTAGCAATAGAAAACAATCCAACCAGTGTCCTGAACTCCAAAAGAGCTGACTTTAACAAACTCAGAGAGAACCTAGAAAAGATCCCATGGATAAAAATCCTAAAGGAGAAAACAACTCAAGAAGCATGGGAAACTCTGAAAAATGCAATCATAAAAGCCCATATCAGCACAATATGACTGAAAAAGAAAAACAAGAAATTCAAGAAGAAACCAGCATGGCTGCTCAAAGATCTCTCTGACAAACTGAAAGACAAAAAGGACAAATACACAAAATGGAAAGAGGGCCACATAACTAAGGCCGATTATCAGCAGACAGCCAGAACATGTAAATATGAAGTCAGGAAAGCAAAGGCTCAGAACAAACAAAGACTTGCAACAAAAATCATGGATAATAAAAAAAGTTTCTTCCAACATATTAACAACAAGAAAAAAGTCAAGGAAATTGTAAGTCCACTAAGGAGAGATGATGGCAAGGAAATAACAGGCAACAGGGAAACAGCAGAGCTGCTTAACTCATACTTTATATCAGTCTTCACACAAAAAGAAACCATAGCCCAATAAATAAAAAACCACTGCAAAAGACAATTAGAAACAAAAATTAAAATAAGCAAGAAAATAGTAAGAGAACACCTATCCAACCTTGACGAACATAAATCACTGGGGCCTGACAGATTACATCCCAGAGTTCTGAAGGAGTTGGCAGATCTTATGTCAGAACCATTGCACCATATCTTTCAAAAATCCTGGAGCACAGGGGAAGTATCTGAGGATTGGAAAAGGGCTGATGTGGTTCCCATCTTCAAGAAAGGGAAAACAAACAGGCCCAGGAAACTACAGCCGAATCAGTTTAACATCAATGCCTGGGAAGAACCTAGAAAGATAATAAAAAAAAAAACAGATCTGCAAACAACTAGAAGCAAACAAAGTTATAACTATAGCCACCATGGGTTTGTTAAAAGCAAATCATGCCAAACCAATCTTATTTCATTCTTTGATAAAGTGACTAAACTAGTAGACCAGCAAAATGCTGTGGATGTAGTATACTTAGATCTCAGTAAGGCATTTGATAAATAGACCACAATCTACTCCTTGGTAAGCTAGAAAAAGGTGGAATAGACAATATCACCACCAGATAGATCTGTAGCTGGCTGGCAAACTGTACTCAAAGAGTAGTCCTCAATGGCACTACATCCACATGGAGAGAAGTAAGCAGTGGGATACCACAAGGTTCTGTCCTAGGCCCAGTACTCTTCAATATCTTTATCAATGACTTAGATGAGGGAATTGATGGTGAACTCATCACATTTGCAGATGACACCAAACTGGCAAAACCCCAAAAGACAAACTCAGGATCAAAAAAGATCTTGACAACTTAAACAATGGGCCCTATCCAACAAAATGAGTTTTAATGTAGAGAAAAGCAAAGTTTTACATTTAGGTTCAAAAAAAAATCAAAGATACAAGTACAGAATGGGCAAGACCTAGCTTAAAAACAGTAACTGTGAGAGGGACCTTGGAGTCCTAGTGGACGATCACTTAACCATGAGCCAGCAGTGTGCAGCAGCAGTCAAAAAAGTTAATACGATCCTGGATTGTATAAACAGAGGCATAGAATCAAGATCACACAAGGCATTAGTACCACTTTATAAAATTCTAGTAAGACCACACCTGGAATACTGCAACCAATTTTGATCACCATATCACAACAAAGATGTTGAGAGTTTGGAAAAAATTCAGAGAAGAGCAACTAAGAGGATCAAAGACCTGGAAACTAAAACATACAAGAAATGGCTGCAGGACTTGGGTTTGGCTAGTCTAAAGAAAAGAAAAAATAGGGGAGACATGATAGCAGTATTCCAGTTTTTGAGGGGCTGCCACAAAGAAGAGATGGTCACATTATTCACCAAAGCACCAGTGGGAAGGACAAGAAACAATGGCTGGAAATTGATCAAAGAGAGAAGCAACCTGGAACTAAGGAGAAACTTCCTGACAGTGGGGACAATTAACCAGTGGAATAGCTTGCCTTCAGAAATCATGGGCACTCCATTGCTGGAGATTTTTAAAAAGAGGCTGGACCAGGGGTAGTCAACCTTGGCTCTTTTATGACTCGTGGACTTCAACTCCCAGAATTCCTGAGCCAGCTGGCTCAGGAATTCTGGGAGTTGAAGTCCACGAGTCATAAAAGAGCCAAGGTTGTCTACCCCTGGGCTAGACAGTCACTTGTCTGAGATGGTATAGGTTTTCCTGCTTGAGCAGGGGGCTAAACTAGAAGACCTCCAAGATCCCTTCCAGCTCTATTCTATTCTATTCTTTTGAGTGGTGATCCCTGGGAGAGGAATTATATTGCATTGTAATAATTACTCTAAGAGTTATTTTAAATAATAATTAGGTGTAAAAATATGAATGCCAAATTGTAATGCCAAGTTGTAAATCATTGAAGCATGAGGGCAAAACGGTAATGCCCCAATTCTCTCTTCCTGGTATTTTGTTCCTTTTTTAGTAGCTTTCTAATTTGATTATGTGTGAAACATTTTGATTCAAAGTTGATTGGGAGTTGAAGTCCACAAGTCATAAAAGGGCCAAGTTTGAAAACCCCTGCCTTATGATATAACATGGTGCCAGAGTACGTGTTATCCACATCATTTTACATTAACATTGTTTTAAGCAAATTTATAAAAATAAAAAATATTACAATATTGTAAAATCTTGAGAAAATTTTGCAATCTCACAGGGCTGTTGTTTTTTTTTTTTTTGCAAGAAGACATCAGAACTTAAAAAGCAAAGTTTTTTTTTCAAGTTCTGATATTTTAGGTACAACATCATCATTTTTGCAAGAAACAAATTGGATTCTTGTTCCTTGCCCTTAGGCATATGGGTGAGAGCACATCAAGGTTTAAGATACACTAAATAGACAGCCTAATACAATTTGGCATATCTGAACAAAGAATGACAGCAGTGGTTATTTTATTGCTGAACTGTGTGATAAGAGAGCCTTTTCTTGGGCAAGAGCTATGAAATACTAGAACTAGATGAAGTGTAAAGGTTTAAAAGTCATCACAACCTGAGTTTTCAGTTAAGTTTTTATTGTTATCAAAATACTATAAACTGTTTTAAAACTCAGCCCATGAGTGGTATAAGACCAAGTTACAGAATCTGAAGTTTTTTTATGTAAAAACTATATTACTCCATAATGTGCTGTAAGAGAAAGTCTATCAGAAATAGCAGCACGCTTGCTATATTTGAATCTACTTGTAGGGAATGTGGCCACTGTTTTATTTTGGGGTAAGTAATCAACAAGACTTTATTTCCTTGGTTTCCTTCTTGTGCTCATTCTCAAGTATTGTATCAAATAACATTTCCATTTGAAAATTGAAAGTATTACATAGATATAAATATTTTATTAAAACAAAATGTGCATGTTATCATTGCATCAGTAATAGCAAAACTATTTGTATTAAAAGTTGTGCATTACCTCTGCTAGATTTAAAATATTTTCTAAACGTTATAACACATTTTACTCCATGTCTTTGACATAGTGTGCTGCTTATTGTCTCATTTTTGAAGAAGTGGAACTTTTATGAAATTACAGGATTAAATGTTTTCCCCATCCTAGCAATTTAAATATAATCATTGTTGTACATTTGACAAGCAACTCTTCAAACTGCATTTTTTCATGTCAGCGTAGCTCTTTCCAGCTATTGATTAGAATTTAAGTGAAATAATTCCAGAAATCTATTTTTCATCTCTTTTCAAGGAGCAATATGTTTTGCAAATATGGCAATTGCGATGCTGGAACCAGCTTTACCCATTTGGATGATGGAGACAATGTGTTCAAGCAAATGGCAACTGGGTAAATTGCAGCAAAATCTTAGCTATTTTAGTTTTGATCATAAGTGTATGTGATTGCCTTCTCAAAACTGTTAATCATATATGTTCAGTTTTTATTTTTGAAATCTGCATTTAGCCAATAGAATGATTACCAGACTTCTCCTACTTTATGCATTGGAAAGCATGAGACTGTGCAGAATTTCAAAGGGATGTCCTGTTTTATCAGATACCTAATGAAACCAGATATTTGTGGATTCTGTGGAATAAAAGCAGTCCCTTTTACAATGCTTTGCAATGCCATGCTTAGGAGAGGGAACAAGTCATTCTGCTTCATTTTGGTGACTTAGCTGCTGTTTATGATACACTGAAATGAAAGCCTTCCCATATGAGTAAATGCAACATGTTTTCCTGAGGCAAGAGCCCAACTGTGGCAGATTGTCCATGATGTACTGTACACATTCCTTATAAAGAGAACAGTAGGAATGCTACATAATGTATGCTACACCTACACAATAGTTTTACTCAGTGGAGGTTTTCTGAACATTGGAATATTCCCTTAGAAATAGATAGCAATAGCAGTTAGGCTTACGTACTGATTCATAGTGCTTTACAGCTCTCTCTAAGCAGTTTACAGAGTCAGCCTATTACCCCCAACAATCTGGGTCCTCATTTTACTGACCTCAGAAAGATGGAAGGCTGAGTCAACCTTGAATTGGTTAGGATTGAACTTCTGGCAGTGAGTTGAATTAGCCTGCAATACTACGTTCTAACACATTGCGCCACCATAGCTACTATATAAATAGATAACATTTAACTACATTTGCAAAATTTTATATACACCAAATTCTTCCCAACTTCTGAATAATAATTCCACTCTGGGCCGTGTGAGTAAAATAGCTTGGAATAGAGCAGTCAGCACAAGAGCCGTGGTGGCGCAGTGGTTAGAACTGCCAGGAGTTCGATCCTGACTGGCTCAAGACTGTTTCAGCCTTCTATCCTTCTGAGATTGGTAAAATGAGGACCCAGATTGTTGGGGGGCAATATGCTGACATTTGTAAACCACTCAGAGAGTGCTGTAAAGCACTATGAAGCTGTACATAAATCTCAATGCTATTGCTATTCCAAGTTGCTGCTTGAATGTTTTTCCCACAGGAAAGCACTGGATAAATTTTCTTTGAACTTTTTTTCCTTTCAACCTGAGCTAGCCTATTTTCCTATTCAACTTTTCTTTTGCTGGATTCTCACTTACATCAAACATGGTTCTATTTTGTTCTTTGTTCAAAAGGTTGTACAGACAAATAGAGATCTATTTGTTAAATATAATAGCCTATCAGTTCTGCAGCACATACTGTATGCTAATATTATCTAGCTGAAGTCTCAGAAAAAGTCCCATATTAAAGACTGTTTAGTAAACTTAGTCATGGGATAAGAGAATCTATCAGTTTATGGATTGTTAACTATTTAGAAAATAGAAAACAAAAATTAGGAATAAATGGACAGTTTTCTACGTGGAGGGAACTAAAACATAGAATCCCTTAGGAATCTGTTTGAGAACAGAAGCTTTATATGCATTAATCAGTGCTATTAATCTGGCCCATTAGCACATAAACCAAACTGTTCACAGTACCAAGAGTGATTGTGAAGATATCCAGAATGAGCTCTTTAAATAGGTGACTGATCAATCAAGTGATAAATGCAGATCAATTTACCATATGTGTATGAAATGATGATCCAACGGTGCTTTTTCCAAAAGGCAACTGAACTTTCTTGGTTTTTTTTGACTCACCAAAATTCCACCAATGGTACTGAAATATGCATTTATGTATGTATGTAGTAGTAGTAAAGTTGGAAGGGACCTTGGAGGTCATCTAGTCTAACCCCCTGCTCGGGCAGGAAACCCTACACCATTTCAGACAAATGGCTGTCCAGTCTCTTCTTAAAAACTTCCAGTGTTGGAGCATTTACTGCTTCTGGAGGCAAGCTGTTCCACTGATTAATTGTTCTCACTGTCAGGAAGTTTCTCCTTAGTTCTAGGTTGCTTCTCTCCTTGATTAGTTTCCACCCGTTGCTTCTTGTCCTGCCTTCAGGTGCTTTGGAAAATAGCTTAATTCCCTCTTCTTTATGGCAGCCCCTGAGATATTGGAATACTGCTTTCATGTCCCCCCTTGTCCTTCTCTTCGTTAAACTAGACATACCCAATTCTAGCAACCGTTCCTTATATGTTTTAGCCTCCAGTCCCCTAATCATCTTTGTTGCTCTTCTCTGTACTCTTTCTAGAGTCTCAACATCTTTTTTACATCGTGGTGACCAAAACTGGATACAGTATTCAAAGTGTGGCCTTACCAAGGCATTGAAGAGTGGTATTAATATTTCACGTGATCTTGATTCTATCCCTCTGTTAATGCAGTCTAGCACTGTGTTGGCCTTTTTGGCAGCTGCCGCACACTGCTGGCTCATATTTAAGTGATTGTCTACTAGGACTCCGAGGTCCCTCTCACAGTTACTACTATTCAGCATGGTGCCACCTATACTGTACTTGTGCATTTGGTTTTTCTTGCCTAAATGTAGAACCTTGCTTTTTTCACCATTGAATTTCATTTTGTTAGTTAGTGCCCAGTGTTCAAGTCTGTCCAGATCCTTCTTTGAAAACATTTTGCTTCTCATCCAAAAAACTTCTTCACTTCTGAAGAAGGAGGACCAGAAGATTTTCTGATAAGAAGTGAAACATTTTCAAAGAAAAAGCCAAGAAAATCCAGTTGTGTTTCTGGAAAAAGCACTTTGGGACAAGTGGATGATCTGGATGATTGAGAGTCTTCATAGACATGTATGAAATGATGCACCTTGGGACCCCAAAGCCCTTATATACACTGATGGAACATGAATTGACTGAGGTTCTCAGGGTCACAGAAGATAGCTTTATAAAAAGGCCAACTCAGAGTCAGAACCAAAGCCTTTCAACCTACCCTTGTCCAAATCTAAACAGATTCATTTTGGCTTTCCTAAAATGGGAGTTTCAGATATTTTGAACAATTAGCCTTAAAGACAGATCTGGCAATGGACAATAGATCAAATGTCAAAGTGCTCTTTCCAGGTTTAGAAATATGAAGAATGCAAAGAACAAATCTGATTCAGTTTAAGTGTAGATGTCTGTAATAGTCAGAAAAAAAGACTCTCCTTAATTGCTCAGTTAAGATGTTTACTGTGCAACAACTTTAAAAAAGCAATTCTATGCTAGGGATCTTTATAAAAGGGATTTGACTTTTTCAAAGTTGCTGCACAGAATCTATATCTTAACTGAGCAATTGACCATATGGTGTGGTCCAATGAATTGTTGACATTTTTCTGCACTAGTATTTTGATATATATAAAGATATAAATAGGGAAATGTTTAATGTTAAATATATTGGTGTACTGTTGAATTATATACAGAGCTTTGAAATCTGACTGTGTGGAATTCGATGACCATGCATGATAAGGTGACTAAAAGAATAATATTGAGAAATTGAAAAAGTGATAATGTTCCAGATATCAAGGGTTTGCATCATATCTATTTTTGAAAAGGCAGTATTTGTTATTCTAAACAATCAATGAAGCAATATGTTTTCTGGCATAGATGTTATTGCAAAAATATTTTGTAACTGATTGTAACACCATATGGTATATTTGCAAACCAGTGACTAACTGTAATATATAAAATAGAATATGTTCATTTTCTTTCCCCTCCTTTTTTTCTCTTTCTTTTTTTTAATAATTTTTATTTGTTTAGATTGTTCAGTTTAAACTTATTATAGTTATCTTGGTATTTTGCTTATGTTTTAAAAAACAAAAGATAAAAAATAAAAAAGTTTACAAATGTATGGTATGATGCATCTGGAATAGTGTGTATTGGTCACCATTTCGGAAAAGAAAAAAATAAAAAAAAAAGTGTAAAAGAGAATAACCAACCGCTCAGAAAACCTTCCCTGTGAGAAAAGGCTACAATTTTGTTTAAAAAAAAGGCAACAGAGAAAGGATATGAATGACATATATGAAATCATGCATACCATGTAGAAAGAGAACAATCATAAATTTTTCTCCCTTTCTCAAAACATTAGGACCAGGGCCCAGCTGACTGGAATGAGATTTAGAATGGGCATAAGAAATTACCTTTGAATAGAATGCATAGTTAACATGTGGGATTTGTTACTGTAAGACAGACATGTCAAACACAAGGCCCAGGAGCCGGATGCGGTCCGCGAAGTGGTTTCATGTGGCTCTCGAAGCCATCCTGGAAACAGTGAGGGAACAGCCCTCGCTGCCTTGGCCCTGGCCCAGGCCAGCCGGGAGCCAATGTACAATTTTGTGGTGGCCATCTATGCTGAAACACATTCAGTCTTAGCTCCACAAGGCTGTCTAGAAACAGTGAGGAATCAGCCCCTGCTGTGTTGGCCCCGCCCCCTGGGTGCTGGGGAGATGTCACCCTTTGTGAGGAATGAAGAAATGGACCATGCCTTGGCGCTTGCCTCGGTCCCACCCTCTTTTGCCAGAGACCCTCAGATCTGTCCCACTCCTGCCCAGGCCCCCACAGGAACCCTTGACGCGAATGATGTAGAGCTGGCCATGCCCACCCAGTAAGCCACACCCACATTGGCCACCCCCCCCACCCCCCCTGAGTTTGACACCCCTGCTGTAAGACAATGTGACAGTCACTAACTTGCATGGCTTTAAAAGGAGGATGGATACATTCATGGAGGCAGATCTATCAAGCATTGAACATACATGTTACCTCTAAATCAACCTTTTTAATGCCGTGACCCCCAACCGGTCGTAAGTCGAGGACTATTCAACCGGTCGTAAGTCGAGGACTACTCAGCTGGTGCAGCACCGTTTGCAGAATGGGATTTTTGGTGGGCTCAGCAGGGCAGAGACAGCCTGGACAATTCCTATTGGCTTTTGAAAGCCAATAGAATTAGACTCTATTCAAGAGAGTCTATTCTATTGGCTTTCAAAAGCCAATAGAATAAAAGGGAGTAGCACAGCTAAGGAAAAGGGGGAAAAAATGGCGGACTGCGTTGTTTGGCGACCCCCGTGAAATGGTCATTCTACCCTAAATGGGGTCCCGACCCACAGGTTGAGAACCACTGCTCTAAATAGGGGAATACCAATGTCAGTTACAGGGCCACAAGAAAAGGAGAGGGATAGGGTGTCTGGATGCATCCCTAAAAGTACCTGTTTAATAAAACAAACTGTGGCCTGATTTAACAGAGTTACTAAAGAAAAGCCTGCTGATTCAGACCAAAGGCCTATCAAATCCAGTATTCTGTTTATAATGAATGAATAGGAAATCCTACAAGTAGGATGTGATCAATACAACAAGTATTCAGTACATTATATAGCAACAATGGACTGATATCCATATTCTCCATAAATTATTTTGTGTTTTATAAACTTGGATTTCTAAATATTGTAGAATAATTTATGATCTAATTCTCGAAAAAAATCAGTTATTAGTAAATTATTTGTTACTTTTCAGTTTAATTCACCTTTTAACAAAATTTATTGACACTTATTAATATTTCTTATTTCTTTGTTCTACCGCTGCATATATTCCTTCACCTACACAGGACCACGAATTTATGAGAACACTTTTGAAAATATAATTACAGTTTAAATCTGATAGATTGTCTTGTTTGAGATTATAAAAGACTTGAAGTAACCCGGATATTAAAGGGTATTTTATTTTATTTGGTTCAGACCGTGGACCTTCATTAGATATGTTCTAATAAAATTGGCTGTGTCTGAAGGTATTAGTTTTTCTTTTGCTTCACTGAAAGCAATGTTGATAAGACACTCGTTCATATTTTTCAGGCGTTGCTTTCATTCCAGCCAGTATCTCTTATCTGATTGGAACAAATCTTTTTGGGGCCCTGGCACACAAAATGGGAAGGTAGGCTAAGTTTAAACACTGAATTCATGGACCACATTTTCTAAATATTTGATGTTTCTTAATTATTAATGAAAGCATTCTGATGCATTCATAATAATAAGCAATTTTATTTTAAAGTCATATAGTGCTGTTAGCTGCTATGTATTACTTCAGGTGTCTGTGTTTCTGGATGGCTAAAATATAATATTTCTCCTTTCATAGGTGGCTTTGTGCCCTAATTGGGATGATAATAGTGGGAATAAGCGTTTTGTGTGTGAGTAAAAGTTATTACTGCAAAAAATCTAATTTTATTCTGCTTTGTTCTTTTGTTGTGTGAAACAGTGAAGTAGGAAGCAACATCCTGCATTTAGTCAGATCTAAATACAGGTAGTCCTTGACTTACGACCACAACTGAGCCATTCCGTTCTAAGTGAGACAATTGTTAAGGGAGTTTTGTCCCCTTTTATGACCTTTCTTGCCACAGTTGTTAAGTGAATCACTGCAATTGTTCACTTAGTAACACAGTTGTTAAGTGAATCTGGCTTCCCCCTTGACTTTGCTTGTCAGAAGGTCACAAAAAGTGATCACATGACCTCGGACTCTGCAACCATTGTAAATATGAGTCAGTTGCCGAGCAGCTGAATTTTAATCATGTGACCACGAGGATACTGAAACATTTCATAAATGTGAAAAATAATGATGTAACTTTTTTCAATGCCATTGTAACTTCAGATGGTCACTAAATGAACAGTTGTAAGTTGAAGACTACCTGTACCTCATTAAAATTGGGTGGGGGGGTGCTTGAAAATTTGAGCTTAATTTAGCTTTTTACTTTCAACTTTGATTTGTTTTAATCATGTATTATTGAACAAACTGTAGCAGTTTGTAGTTCACACTTTTTAATAAGCTCTAAAAATTGTGGTTTAAAAATTATTTTCATGGGTTTTTTACAACAAACTGGAATATTTTTTCCTAATATACATAACAATTATGCACTTGAATAAATTGTCCAATATTTTTTCAGCGTAGATCCTCTAGCACTTATCTTTTCTGTGTATATTTTCCTACTGCAGGTTTTTAAAATGCATGTTCCTGGTTGTAAACCAATTTAAATATATAATCTTTAAAAATATATAAATACTGCTATTTGCATGTAATATTCATTACTGTATCTTTTTGTCATGCACTTTTTATCTGGGCAAACAAATGATTACAGCATTTCCAGTGAAATATTCTTTTAGATCTCAAAATGTAGCCAATTCATTTTCTTGCCCTCATTCAAGAGAAAAATAATTATAAAAAGTGAGCTATACCCTCTTGAATCTATTATTCTTTTAATTTGTGTCAGCAACACTTAGAAATCTTGCCTTCATTAACATTTTTAGTTTGCATTTTTCTGAGCTTTAGTATTGCCCTATCTTTTAATGTAATGCTACCAATTTTTATAATGATGTTGCTTTCTCATATATAAACACAACCAGATAGACTTGAATTCTATTAATAAATTCCATTTATTCATGCTCCAAAGCTCATAGCTGAAAGCTATGTAAATATGTAACTGGTGTCACTAAAATCTGTACACCATCTTTAAAACTAAAGATGTATATTTAATCTTAATAAATTTAATGCAGGGGTCTGGGAAGTTGCTCTCACCGTCTTGCTTTTTGGGGCTCTACCAAGTAGGTGGTGCCAAAAAGTTGTGGCTGGAAATGTTAAGAGGCATGTGCCATACAAAACTGGCACAGCCCTCAAGCTGATAGAAATTGTCTGCTCATCTAATGAAAAACACCTCTAATATCAACACTTTGATATTTCGTTTTGTTTCTTTTACTTCCAGGTACCATTTGCTAAAAACATATATGGACTTATAGTGCCGAATTTTGGAGTTGGCTTTGCCATTGGTAAGGAAAAAAAATGGCTGAACATTTGGTTTAGAGCAGTGGCTGCTTGAAGCTGTGAGGACTTCACCTCTCAAAATTCCCCAATCAGCATGGCTGGCTGGGGAATTCTGGGAGTTGAACTCCACACAGCTTCAAGTGGCCAACGTTTAGAAACACTGGTTTAGAGAAAATGCAATGCTGCATTCTGTTATTTGATGTGTTACATAGAAGCTTCACTTTTACATAACTATCAGTAGAGCAGTATAAGTTATATACTGTAGATCAGTGGTTCTCAACCTGTGGGTTGGGACCCCATTTGGGGTCGAACGACCATTTCACGGGGGTCGCCACACAACGCAGTCCGCCATTTTTTCCCCTTTTCCTTAGCTGTGCTACTCCCTTTTATTCTATTGGCTTTTGAAAGCCAATAGAATAGACTCTCTTGAATAGAGTCTAATTCTATTGGCTTTCAAAAGCCAATAGGAATTGTCCAGGCTGTCTCTGCCCTGCTGAGCCCGCCAAAAGTCCCATTCTGCAAACGGTGCTGCAAGTTGTCTGCAGCGAAGGCGAACTGTCTGGAAGTTTCCACCCCTCCCTGCTGAGCAACTACTAAAAATGTAAGTAAAAGAGGGCCAGGGGTGGGAGGTGGGAGGCTGGCAGGTGCAGGGAGGGTTGCTGGCGCATGTGGGGCCCGGCGGGTGCCTTACCTCCCTTGGGCTGGGCCAGCTGGCCTGCGCCGTCACTGTCCCTTGCCAGCTATGCCTTGGCCGGTGCAGGGGGCAGCACCATGCATGCGCGGCACTCCCAGGCAAGAAAAGTCCTCGACTTACAACTGTTGGGTAGTCCTCGACTTAAGACCGGTTGGGGTCGTGGCATTAAAAAGGTTGAGAACCACTGCTGTAGATCCTGATTTCTATCACCATTACCTTCAATGAATTTGAAAGGGGATAATAGTTTCCTGTGTAGAGATGCATCCAGACTACTCATATGCACAATTCTGTGAAAGAAGGGGAGATACATGAGATACGTCTTATGTTTAAGTTGGATGGTGGTAGAAGCATGGAAAAAAACTCATCTGAATTTATGGAATTGGTACATGATCTCAGAGAGACTACTTTATATCTCAGATTTTAATTAAACTGCAACATGTGGCATCAATTGATAATTTGGATCTCCTGCCTGTATGGGCTCTGAATTCAAGAGATGTATGAATATTTTGAAATATGTTCTTAACATAAAGAACGTATATCATTTTCAATTAGTAACAGTTGAGTCCAACTTTCTTAAAAGATTGTATGCAGCAATATGAATTAGTCACTGTAACACATGGAAACCTGTGGCTTGGTTGTGGTTTCTGAAAATATATTGCTCAAAAAAATAAAGGGAACACAAACGTATAGGATCCTATACATTTGTGTTCCCTTTATTTTTTTGAGCAGTATATATACATTAAACACATTGCCAATAGAGCTAATTAATGTCCCTAGTAGGAAAAGATAATGCTTTACTGTTGCTTCCTTTCAAAAAGCAAATATTTTGTAATCTATAAAAGAAGTACAGTCAGTGACTATTAGTACATAAGACAAATAAGAAAACCTATTCTGTCTCAATGCAGTGTTGGTAGACTACGCTGCCAATAAGAAAATTAAACAAATTTTATTGTATCATAACAGATATGACCGATGGTACAATAATTAGATATACATATGTCATCCTGTAGAATATAAAGAATCTTTACAGGGTAGAGAACATGTTCAATATTTTGACATCAGTAAATAACATTGGATTGATTATATTCTAATAATCCTTTAATTCTAGCATATAATTTATCAGTTTTAAATTTAGTAAAAGCTCCCCTTTTTGCACACTCCTATAAGATAAAGAAGATATTTTGTGAACATTTTGCCAATAAACAGAGAGAGGGCTAAACATTTTTGATGAATCTTTCACAGAAAGATGCCCTTGTCTATCATACACAGATTTTTACAGATGAAGGTGAATATTCATTATATTACCACCAGCTTTATCAGCAGCAGGACAGTTCTTGTTTTGAAATGCTGTATTTATATACCATGGTAAAAGGATTGAAAAATGGTCTAGCAATCCAGCTGTAATAGCTACAGAGTTGAATATCTCTTCTACTAGCTTGATGTATCTATTTGTCCGCCAAGCCAAATCTATAAGGAGATTTAAGGACAGTTTATAGCAATAATAAAACCACACATTAGTAGAATACATTAGTAGGCATTGATTTAAAATGCTGAATAAAATTATTCAGTTGAAGATAATATACTTGTATTAAGACAAATTTTCATTGAAATTTTCATCAAAGCTGGACACATAATTATATGAAATCTAAACTTATATATTTAGTGCTCAAATATACATTTTGAATTTTGATATTAGAATAATAAACTAGATGGTGGATTCATGATTATTATTAAAAAGTTTTCCTTTCTGAATTCAGATCTGAAATATCACAACTGATTACTGTATAATCCATTAATTTCAGACCTGCTACCATAACAAAGTTTGTAAGAGTGGTACGATACTTCTATAGACTAGTCCAGGGGTAGGCAACCTTGGCTCTTTTATGACTCGTGGACTTCAACTCCCAGTTGAAGTCCACGAGTCATAAAAGAGCCAAGGTTGCTTACCCCTGGACTAGGCAGACCTGGGCTAGTGAAAAGTAATCCCAATTTAGAAGAGCAAACACATGTATAATAAAGCACATGTGACAGTTGAAGCAAAATTTGTTATTAAGATCTTACAAAAAATGTGATGCCATTATTCCATCTCTGGTAAACAAAGCACAACCTATTTCAAATTTTGATTGCACTGTGTTGAAAGGAATATGATCTTGTTACTGTTGAAAAGCCTCTTGGTTTAAAAAGTAGGTTCAGTAAAACTGGCACTATCCAGACACATATTTCCTTCAGAAATATTTCCAACCATTTTCTATGTAGATATTTGGAGAGAAAATGGAGAGCCTGATTAAAATTCCTTTTTTCTGTGTTATAATCAGGGATGGTGGATTCTTCATTGATGCCTATTATGGGTTACCTTGTTGATCTGCGCCATGTTTCCGTCTATGGGAGCGTTTATGCAATTGCAGATGTTGCATTTTGCATGGGTTTTGCTTTAGGTAAGGACTTAATTCTGTTTATTTGAAATGCACTTAACATTAAAACACTGTTGCACCATTTTGTATTTAATCTTTGTACCATTTTGTATTAATCCCACATACACACTTCCACAAATCCTCCAGGATTGGGGGGGGGGGGTTTTGCCATTGAAGGCTATTTCATTTTCAGCTGAAGAGATTCTTAAAGCTTGGTTGGCTGGGGAATTCTGGGAACTGATGTCCACAAGTCTTAAAGTGGCCAAGTTTGAGGACCCCTGTTTTAAGGCTTACCCACGCCGTTCTTCTTCTTCTTGTCTTTCCTACTGCAGAATGCTAGGAAACCATGCTATCTATTTTTAGTCATTGAGAGAAGTCCCGAGACGGGGCCTCTTGGAACTTCAGCTACAAAATAAATAAATAAATAAATAAATAAATAAATAAATAAATAAATAAATAAATAAAAATAGCCTGATAGCAAAAATAAATGGGTTAGGGCGAGAACAAGCTGGTTTCCCCTTTTCATGCGTAATTCCTTGAAATTATGAGAACTATGGTAATGAAGCAAGGACATTATATTAAGCATTTCAGTACATTCAGTATAATCCTCACATTTTAAATATCGAATATGCTTTCACAATATTCTGCATATCAATACACTTTAGGAGCAAATGTGTTGGTGCGCATTGTCAATCATTTCCTGTTTCTGTTCAGAGTGGCTAAACTCTGGAATCATTCTAAGGCTTGTTTATCTTTATATGCCAACTGGGATCTCTTGGCATTCCCAAACAAGCCTGACTTCAGTTTGCGGCATGATAGATGAAATCTGTCATCCAGGTTTGTACATAACACCAATTAAACAGAAACATTGGTAACTGCCTTATCATTTTTGTAGAAGGAGCTAATTGAGACCAGTCAAGCAGCTTGAATTGGCTACTTGTCTAATCTTTGACTTAGGGTTTGACATGGGCCAATGTTTTAGATCATGTCTTATTTTTTCTTATTGATAGTGCTCAGCTTTGTGTTTGTATTTATATTTGTATTTCCAAAGGTCCATCTGTTGGTGGGGCTATTGCAAAGTCAATTGGATTTCCATGGCTCATGACAATTATAGGAATTATTGATATCCTCTTTGCTCCCCTGTGTTTATTTCTACGCAGTCCACCTGCCAAGGAAGAAAAGATGGTAAGCACAGAGCTGTTTCCTGGTTTTCTCTGGATTCAATACAGAACAATTTTGTCACATGTCTACCTTTTCCGCAATAAAATAATCATGACTGCGTTTAAATATATTAACAAAGGTGTTCTATCATTTAATTTTCTCTAAAATATATATCTTTAACTACGTGACTGTAAGTTCTAGTCCTGCCTTAGGCATGAAAGCTGGTTGGATTACTTTGGACAGCTCACTCTCAGCCCAATCCACCTCATAGGGTTGTTGTTGTGGGGAAAATAGGAGAGGGAAGGAATGTTAGGTATATCTGTCACCTTGAATTATTTGAATGAAAGCAGGATAAATAGATAAATAATTGAAGAATGTTATTCTGCCAGTTATCTGGATAATTCCGTACTAGAGATGGCTGTCTTCTGTATTTTCAATTGCTGATCCCTGATAGTTGATTAAGACCCCCATATTTTGGACTCATATTTAGATAACAGCATGTCCAGATAGCTGAAATAGTATCTTAAGTAAGATACATTTTTAAAAATTATACATTAAAAATACTTTTAGTTCCAACTTTAGTTTGGATGAATTCACAAACCATTGAATTAATCTGTTTTGTATTATTATATTTAGTGAGCAGGACAGCCACCTTAAATGTTTTATGTTTAAAGCTAAACAATAGTTAGGCTGGTATAAAACAGGCAAATAGATTCAACTTGAAAATTAATCTTACGTGCTGTATACTTAAGGGATAACTAATTTTGAAGTCTTCTATTGTTACATAAAACAATATAATGCTTTGATAATATAATAATAGCTATGTTCTTTTGTAGGCAATACTTATGGATCAAAACTGTCATTTTAAAACCAAAATGTATACCCAGAACAGCATACAGCCACATCCATTAGGTGGTGATGATGATGAAGAATTGGAGAGTGATGAATAATATTTAAAAGCTGGTATTGGTAGTTCAATGATACAGTAGACTTTTCCTGTGAAACATCTCATCAGAAAGTTTTAATTGTACTGCTCTTTTAATTGTGAACTTGTAAAACAAAATGAAACCAAAGGTATAGTTATTTATTGCCCTTGATCAAGATTACCCACTGCCTTATGAAAAAAGATATTAGAAGATTCTGTTGTTAAAACTTGGTGTTTAACATTATGCATTTTGTAAATGTATACATCTCCATCTAGATCCAATATTAGTTCAAACATTTCCCTTAATATTATACATTTTCATTTAATTCATTGCAGCAATGAGTGCCTGAAACTAGCAATTATAAATTATCAGATTGTCTATTTAAAAATATTTATATAATACTTTGCACTTTTCAAGTTAACTTCACTTCAAACTATTCTTACACTTAACCTAATTCAGAATGATGTAGAGTGAATGAAACTTTATATGGCTAATGGAGAATCAATTTCATTGCAAATTATGTGGCATTTGGGAAAGAGAAGTTTGATATAAAGTATTTTGCATTGCTACTACCATGTTTCCCCGAAAGTAAGACCCAATCTTACTTACTTTGGGGCTCTGAAGTAAGCATTAGGATTTACTTTCAGGGAGGGCTTACTTTTTGCTGGTACCAGTAGGCCGCGGGCTTTGGGGCTCTGAAGTAAGCACTAGGATTTACTTTCGGGGCGGGACTTATACATGGGGTGGAGAAGCAATGTGGTGGTGAGAGTGTGGTAGCGGACGAGGTGTGGTACTGGTGTGGGTGGGCAGGGCTCGTGCCCTTCTTGTGCCAGGCCAGATCCTGCAGGCCCGGAGTGTCCATGCTGTGTGGTGGCAGGATGGGCGCTGAGGTGGGGGTGGCCAGACCAACCAAAGCAGCAGATGGAGCGCTGGAGGCTTGGGGATGGAGAGTGGTGAAGCGGGAAGGCATCCTGCTGTCAGCACCCATGCCGGCTGCCCCTTCCCTGTAGAGCTGGAGAGCTTGCCACACCACCGCCCAGAAGCCCTTGCTTCCCCCAGGAACTGCATTTCTTTCCTTACCTGACTTCCAGCCCTATCCCATTTCTCCTTCACAATCCGCCACCACCGCGTGCAGGGAAACAAAAGAAGTTTGTGGGGGAAAAATAGGTCAATCAATTCCAACTTCTTGCGAAAAAAAAAATCTTGCGAAGTTGGAATTGATCGATTGAACTTCCCCCCCAAAACTTCTTTTGTTTCCCTGCACACGGTGGTGGCAGATTGTGAAGGATAAACAGGATGGGGCTGGAAGTCAGGTAAGGAAAGAAATGCAATTCTTGGGGGAAGTTAGGGCATCTGGGCAATGGTGTGGCAAGCTCCCCAGCTCCATGGGGAAGGGACAGCTGGCATGGGAGCTGACTGCAGGATGCCCTCCAGCTTCACCACCCTCCCACCCCAAGCCTCTGGTGCTCCACCTGCCACTTTGGTCAACCTGTACCCCACCTCAGCACCCTTTCTGCCGCCACCCAGCATGGTCTCCCTAGGGCTGACACTCAGAGTCTCCAGGAGCTGCAGGGATTCACACGTACCCTTTTTGTGCTATTTTTGGTGCCACATTTGTGCACATTTGCAGCTCTGTTTTTGGCGGCGCTTTGGGGGGAATGGTTTATCCCCATTCACAGCATGGCTGCCGTCCAATTGCCATGCCACCTCTCAGGAGGGGAGCATTATCTGCCAATGCAGTGCCAGGGAAGACGGAAGGCAATCCCGCCCACCAGATCAGGCTGGCAGGGGTGGGGTGGGAAACCGAGTGGTGTGAAAAGCAGTGCTCAGAGCCTCCAGGAGCTGCAGGGATCTGCACACGCCCTTTGCAGTCATCCTCCTGCAACATGCAGCCTCTCCCTGTAAGCAAGCCGGCTCGCCCAGGGTCAGGTTGGCCATTGCGGGAGGCTCATCCAGCATGTGTGGCGGAGCTGGAGAATGAGGACAGGCCACACCTCCTGCAATGGCCAACCTGACCGTGGGCGAGTCAGATTGCTTCAGTTTCGAGGAGCCTGGCCTAAGGTTTCTATTGCCAGGCTTCCTGAACCTGATGGGAACTGCAGCCTGCCGCAGCTGAACAGTTTAGCCAAGCTGCAAAATTGAACTTGCAGCGGTGGCACCGGCAGCAGATAAGGTGGGGGGGAGGCAAGCGATCTGGCCTGTCCTAAGGTAGGACAGAGTAGGCATGGTCTTAAGTAGGGCTTACTTTTTGGGGTAGGGCTTATATTAGCCCGAACCCCCCCCCAAATAAGCTAGATCGTATTTTATGGTTAGGTTGTATTTTTGAGGAAACACAGTATTAACATTACACTGAATAGTTTTTTTTAATCTCATCTAACTTGTTCAAATTATGTGTCTTATCATCATATAAACATTGTCTACTGCATTATCTAAATATATAAACTTCAGATAGCTTTGCAATAGCTTCAGATGACTATTCATCACATTCAAAATTGTACAGAAAGAAAAAGTTAAGCTACATGATTCCTGCTTTTGTAAATTTGAACTATAGTGTGTACAAAGTTTAGACAAGCCCCAGATCCCAAGTTGAAATATGATAATTCAGAAAAGATTTTTTATTTCCCTGGAATGGAGAGTCAAGCCTTGATCTTTTATCTGGCATTTCAACATGCTGCAAACGATGATGCAAGAGGCCTTTTTGTCATTTACATGAAAGGAACTGTTGCTTCCATGATCCTGGACCGCAGGGCACAATTATAGCTTCCAGAAGTCTGAAGAAGTACCTTTAGTTGTATTACATACTCTATGAGCTGTGTCTCATTGTTATTCAGTCTTTCATCCTAAGCTGCTGCATGGTTTATGATTTATATTTTCTTCATGTCAAGTACCTGACCTAGCCAATTTCCAATCAATGAACCTCTCCATATAAAAAGAAAATTATTTATAAGAAGCCCTTTGATTTACATTCCCTACCTATTCAAAATTCAATTTGGATGATTCTTTCCAATGAAGCTACTGATGCTACAAATTTGAACATGTCACAAAACAACATCCAGTACTGGGACATTTTAAAATAAGAAGTTAAATTTTCAAGGAACATATACCAAAATCTTTATACCAATTTCTGTAAAGTTTGGCATGCTTTATCTCTTCATGAAGTGTTTAGTTTTTCTGCTAATGTTTTCCCATTTAATGAAAAACAAGACTGATAACTAATTGTTTTTCTCATGTTAGTCTAGAGTTGTATTTTATCCCAAATCTTGCTTCATATCCAAAGATCAAAATGGAATGGCTACAGCGGATCAGTCTGTTTTCCAAATTAAGATGAATCTGCATGCTTCATTGTTAATCTCTGCATATTTCTTAATAAAACTATTCTAATACGTGCCTATTTAAACTAGAAGCAAAACTATCAGCACTTCAACTCCCAAGAGATCTGCTTTGTAAAAATGCTACCTGATTATTCAAAAGGAAAATCAGGCAGGTATAGTCCCTAGTAGATTTGTACTGGAGTAAAGTATCTGGCAAACACTTCATGTTAAAGTTTTATTTTCTAGAGTTTAGTTTGTTTTTGCAAATTACAAAAGTATAAGACACAACTGCTTTTTAATGTTGTCAAAGACTTTTAGGTGTCTGCACAAAATGAAATACCAAGTCTATTCACAGACTTTGCTTGTAACTATCCTTTGGACATCAGCAGATGGAAATGGATTAACACCTTTACTTGAGTGAGTCTGCGACATATTGTGCTTTTGAAGAATATGCAAAGCAGGATTAGAGATTTCAGGACTGATTAGTTTGACAAATGGGAGGCAGGTAACATTCTGGTTCTTAATACATAATGGTCTGTATTGCAACCTATTGACTCCTGTAACAGTGTGTTGACATGACCTTGTGGATTATGGCCTTAGTTGTGAAAATAAAAAAAATCAAGAAATATAAGACCATGTAAGTATCAAACATTTATGTAGTGTTGTATACATAACACCCTGTTTGTAAACTTGATCTCTGTGCCTTTTCTAATGTATCAGCAAATGGTTTGTATTTAAAACAGACACTTTATATAGTTTTGTAAAATGTGTTTGTGCCATTTCCATGTATAAAACATATATTTTGGTCAAGTTTTGGAAATGCTTTAAATGAATTGTTATTGTTCTGTTATACAGAAAGTAAGAATGGAATGTTATTTTGTGAAAGAAATAAAAGGCAACAATGTGGTATTTCATTACTGTTAATGTGACAGTTAGTCCACAAAGGTAAGACACTAAGTCTTCATCTCCTTTCCCCACTGCTATGATAGTTCTCAAAATGACTGTGCTGAATTTCAGAGAAAATGCTTTAAATCCACAGTTGGCCCCTGTGAACTATGGTGCATAGTCTTTTCAAATTGTTCTATAAATTGAAGAGTAACAGCTGCCCTCAGGTAAGGATTAATTTTTTTTAATATTAGATGACAAATAGGTATCTCTGTGTCTATATATGTATAGGCAAGGGAAAGAACTGTATGGAAAGAGAGGCACTTGATGATTCTCCTAATCTCTCACCCACTTGCAGAATCCTTCCTCTAAACCCAAATGGGCAGATAGAGAGATGCTCTGTATCTACAACTCTTCAACAGACTACCTAAATTATTGGTAGGAAGCTTTAAACAACAAAACACCACTGTGAAAAGATAAAAGTTTCAGACATCGTTATTCTCTCACTGTTGCCCTTCTTGCAATAAGACAAGTGGTGCTGGAGATTTCTGGATCAGAACATTCTGAGACAGATTTGAATTATTCAGTTTTCTTCCTCTTACTATAACAAACGAATAGGTTGAGGTGCTATTGCAATTAATTTATTCTAATCCATTTTACTTTTGGCACATGGCTGTAAGAATCGAATCAAATCAAATCAACAAATTGTACCAATTTATTTTAGTGGTACCTTACAGAGAAAAGTATTTATCTTAATCTGTATTTGGCTTCAATGCAGCACATTATTTCAAAAATAGTTACTTTGCATATCTAAATATATTGTGCTGAATTTACCAATTCCTCTACAAAATTAATTTTATTTATATTTATCTACTTACTGATTATTGTTTTCCTTGTACATTATTCAAAATAGATTGATTTTTCTGATGTCTTTTTTCATAATACTATATATATCTGTGATATCTGTAAAAATACGACTCCTGGGTATATTCATATTATAAAATAAATAACTCACAAACACCAGGAGAATCCAATCAGGAAAAAACTTTTAATAAAACCTAGCTTTCGTCGGAAGCTTCCGACATCGTCAGGGTTGGGGCTAGTTGAAGGGAGCAACCTATATAAGGCTGCTTAACGCTTGCATCCGGCTTCTAGATCGTGTTACCGGTCCCAGCTGGCTAGATTGTACTGTTGTCATTTCCTTAACGTTCGCACCCTCTTTCCTGCCCCTCCCTCGTGCATTCTTGCTCACTCGCTCGTCACTGATTCTCGGGCTTTACGGGGGCCTCTCCTTTTTACCAGGGGTCTTAAGGTGTAAACTATTCAACCCCTCCTTGATATTGCTGCATGTCTCCCTCAGGCTCCAACCAATTCCCCCCATCACCTTGGGCTTTAAGTTAGATGTCTCTCTGTTCTACTTTTTGTCTTCTTTCCCTTTGTTACGTATTACACAGGTTAGCATTTTTTCCTTTTTCCCTTTGTTCATATGCCGAGAAAGTCAATAAGTTGTCCTCTTTACTTTGATGTGACCGGGTTGCCATCCTGTGCCCTTCAATCCTATGCATGGGCGACACCTCTCCGCCGCTATTTGCGGCGCTACATTCCTTGATTCCTCTTGAATCCCTGAACCTTGCATTGGTATCTTGAATGTCATTCCTCCATTCAGAAGGCGGGGTTCCTTCGAGGTGCAGTGTGGAATCGCACCAATCCCACCCTGCATCATAGCTCTTTCCTCCATCTCCCGGGGGTTGCCTGGATCTTTGTGAGAATTTGTTCTTCTCTGCTACCAGCGGGTTCATCAGCTGTTGATTGGAACAAATCAGCTGTTGATCGGGTGCCAAAGGAATATCCGTGGAATTCACCCTCCTCTTTCATACTTCCAATGATCCCACAATCACCATCTTTTCCAGCAGTTACCATCCCTCCTCTCTCATTCCCAATGCTGGTAAGCTCCGAAATGCCGTGGGGACTAGTTCAAAGCCCCCGTCCCAACTGGGTGACTAGGGCGAGGGGGGGGTCTTGGATATATGTCTTGATGCTTCATCAGATGGTGATTGTGGGACCATTGGAGGTATGAAAGAGGAGGGTGAAACGTCTGATAGTGTGAGCTGAGGCAGGGTGTCTAATAAGGAACCTCATGGTAGGAGGGACTGTAGCGAGAGCAATGGACAGGAAAGGGGTGGAAGTAGTAAAAATCCACTGTGATGGAGCACCCCAGTGAAAGGGGTGAGAAGATGAAACATCCCAAGGATTTGGATCGTGTGCCTGTTTGGAGTAAGATAGGGTATACTCCTAATTCACGGATACAGGAGGAGGAGAGGGAAGTGAGTAGCAGTATGTGCACAGGTAAGGGAAGCAAGTGTAAATTGACTAGTAATATGGAGATTAGGACTGGAGCGTTGATTGGTCGGTCAGGACCTATGACGAGATCCATGAGTCGGGCGCAAACGGCTTTGTCATCTATATATAAGTTCTCTCATTGACCTAAATGATCCCTGACGATGTTGGCAGTAGCCAACGAAAGCTTGGAATTTTATTTAATTAAAACTTTTATAGTTTTTAACTTTCCTGGTGTTCACGCTTGTTTGCTGTTCAACAACATATATATATATATATATATGTTACCAAAATAATGATCACCAAGAGAATATCTAAGAAAATAGAATTTAATTAACCTAGCTTTCGTCAAACACACTTGACACTGTCAGGGTTAAAAGGTAAACGCTGAGAGGGGCCTTATATATAGTTGTTAAGTGCCTGTTTCCGGCTCCTGGAGCGTGTCATCGGCCCCAGCTGATTGAGCTGCGTTCCAAGCGCACCTCCTATGTCAATGCACATTCCTTTTTTTTTCTTAGTTTGCGTTCCCTCACACGTTGCTCTACCCACCATTTCGGAGTTAGGCGGATTAGGGATTGGGATACTCCCTCCTCCCTTGTATACAGCTCCTCCACCACCCTGTACGCGGCTTCCTCTGAGGAGTGGGGGAGTGTTTGAGTCACTTCTCGTGCTCCCATGGACTTCAGACCCGTTTCGTTCTTGTTTACTTATCCCTCGGAGCCACGATGTGAGTTCCTCCCCACACCTCGTGTTATTCTCCCTCCTGTCCTCCCTCCCGTGCGTTGTCCTGGGTGGCCTATTATTCATTCCAGCCTCTCTTCTCTCACGCATGCCCAGAACGTTCTGTTGCCATCCCATTGATAGCACTCTGCTGTTCAGTCCGTTGTCGGTGAGTGCCGTTTTCATTCGTCTCCGATTCTCCACCTTCACTCCCTACAGGGATCCTCTGTCTTGGCTGCAATCGTTGCCCAACTGCCCGCCTCCGTGTCGAATACACCGGAAGGGGTGTCTCCCTTCATTCAATCTTGACCGGGTCACCATTGCATGTCTAACGGTGTCATTGAAGGGTAGCTCATCCTCACTACCACCTTCAGACTTCCCCATATCTCATCTGTCCTCTGGTCCCTCGAGTCCCACTCCATTGCTCCGTATATTATCCTTCCATTCCAAGGGGTACCCACCTTCAAGGCATCGCAAAGGATCCTGCGGTAGTTGTCTGTTGGGATCGGTCTGTTGATGGTCAAACGGTAGTTGCGTACTTGGTGGGGGTGGGCTGTCAACCGGGGCTCCGCCAGCATAATTGAGCGGGGGGGGTTCAAGGGGGTATCCTTCTCCTGTCCATGCGGCTTGTGATTAAGTCCCCTTTGAATGTTAGCATGACAACCAGCGCTCCATGTTCTTAGAGCCTGGTGTGCTGAGCACGTCCACATGCCGATTGATCAGATCTGTTCCTTTTAATTAAACAGTTTTGTTTTTAGTATTATCCTGGTGTTCGGATTATTTTATGGCAGGTGTGTGTGTGTGTATATATATATATATATATATATATATATATATATATATATATGTCTCTAATTACGTTAAAAATGTATGTGTGTGTGTGTGTGTGTGTATGTATGTATGTATGTGTATATATATATGCAGGTCTTGGCGTATTCGGGTCTTTTCCCGTGTAAGATTGAGAGTATCTTGGCGACGTTTCGACGAGGTCACCAAGATACTCTCAATCTTATATGGGAAAAGACCCGAATACGCCAAGACCTGCATACCTATACCCGTGAAAATCTACGAAAACAAATACATATACATATACATACATATATACATATATATATATAGTCTTAGATTGCTATAACTTCAAGAAGTTGCAGCACACAGTATGTTTAAGAATTCTGTTATTAGAAGTTTAATACGAAAACGATTATGAAAATACAAAAAATCCTAGTGCATGCACTTTGTAAATAAATTTAATCTTCCCAAGATGTTTTAATTTACAATTTTAATTTCCTCATATTTATCAAGAATTTCTCAATCAAAGAATAAGTACTTAAATCTTCTGTTATAGAAAGTATTGCAAATGTAGAGAAGCTCCTTAGAAAATGTGCTATTAGAAAGTCAAATACCTATTGTATGTAACTGGGCAATCTCATTTTCTATTTGGTGCATTAGCCTTTCCCAATGTAGAGGTGATTACGGACAAGGCTAGCTGACTCTGACGAGAATTGAAATCAAAAACATTGGGCAGGAATCAGGAGCGGAAAGGGTCCATAAAAGATTCAATTGTGGGTGGGTAGGGTGGGTATGTTTCTAACTCTACCTAGGCCTAGGAAAGAATGTAGCATCATTACAGATAAACAGGCCTTTTGTCTGTCATCCACAACCCTTCCACGAAAGTTCTACTGAATGAAGAAACGTTGGAAGCCATTGTTCTAGAAAATAGCATAGCATGGAATAAATAAACCTTTAGTTATGTGCCAAAATACTCTTTAAATATCTAACAGCTTATAACAAAGAAACAGAATTTATTTAAAAACTTTTATTAAAGCTTGTTTTCATGATAAAATCATCTGACAATCATCTCAGGCAGATTTCCATAAATATATGTTAGTGTCAAGTAATAACATACCACCACATCAAGATAGTCTTGCATCCAGTGGTATTTATTATTTTCAGCTGTGTATAGTAAAGCAGAGAAGCAAAAGATATAAAAGGAATGTATCAATAGTTCTTCTTAAAAACAGTATTTATTATAATTCTATGCTTTATATGTTTTCCTTGATGCTACTATACTATTATTTTGCTGCCATTCTCACGCAATGGTTAGAATATTGCACTATATTTAACTTACATTATACAATCATCATAGTAGAGTACTGATACTCAACTTTTCATGCCTCTTTCATAAACAGGTAACTATTATATGATGTTAGCTTAGTAAACCTAATATCTGTAGTATTTCTGTCATTGTATTCTGATCTGCAAGTTAATATCTGGACAGAAACTAAAGGGAAAATGTCCTAGTTTATGCAAACTTTTGTTAAGCTGAAAGATAATATTCCTTAAATATAATGTTGATTGAATATTATTGGTTCATTTGGGAAAATACCTAAAATTGTTTTATCTTTTTAAAAAAATATGGATTATGTCAATTTGGCAGCTGTTCTGTTGAACTATTTTACTTTTTTATTGTAAGGACAAGTTGTAAAGTTAAAAATGTTAGGACGTTCACTCCCATTATAATAGCAAAAAATTTCTATGCAGTAGCATAAGTGGTTGCTTGTTAGTCAAGTAGAAGTAATGCAGAATGCTATCTTTTTATTTAGTTTTATAAAATTATTTTATAATACAATGCCAAAAATGATGAGCACATAATACAATGCCAAAAATGATAAGCACATAAAAATAAAACATTAAGAAATATGGGTATGAAACATTAAGATAACCCTAACTAACAATCCTCATCTCAGATCAATTGATTTTTAGTGTTGCTGGGCTTAGGATTCAATGGGTGGGTGAGGGCTACCGGGGCAATCTTAAGTTGCTGAGCATTTCATTTTTACTTTTATTTTTTTGTCACCAGAACCATCAGAGAATAAATCAGTTTAGTGTTAACTTTAAAATCCTTTTACATATTAATTCTTAATATTTAGATTCTTTGCAAAAAATAAATCTGGTAAGGTTACCATTTAAATTTTAAATTTTCTAATGGGTGCTTAACATTATTACATTATAGAAAAGTATGTTCTATAAAGCTTCCATCTAGTTACAGGAACAAAGAAAAATCTGTGGCACATTCTCAATACATTTCTATAAACATGTGTATAGGCAAAAAGTAATGCCTATCGGTGTTTTTGAATGGGAAAATTAGAACCTGATGACAGTTGTTTCAGTGATATGTGCTTTAAACGTCTTCCCTGCTAAAGATTCTAATAAATTCACAGAAGGAAAGAGTAAAATGTAAATTGCCTTTTCAAAAATTCAGACTTCTCTATGAAAGAAAATCAGAGAAATCAGACACTGGAATGCTAACGTTATCAAATAATTGGAAATAAAGGCATGTTATTTATAATGCATCATTGGCAAAAGAAAAACAAAAAACACCTGAAACTCACTATCCCCTTTCCAAAAGATACTGAATAAGCAAATGGCAAGGTATAACAAAAATCTTCAAAACTGGCCCGTCAGCAGCTGCTGCAGTAGTTCTCATTTGAACACAAAATAAAAATGCAAAGCTTTAAAACTGAATAATGAAAGGAACAAAACAAAACAAAAAAACAAAAACAACCCGAGAACAGAAACTCTGCAAAGCAATTCAAAGGCAATTCAGGAAGTTTGTTGGTGTGAACAAAGGCCTTTTTTTTGAAACAGAGGCAGCCGTGCTGTTTAGAAGACAACATTTCCATTGAGACTGCCAGAAAGTAAGCTGGGTGTGAACATGTCTGTGGAGATGACTTGAGAAAGCCTTCAAAAGAGGTGTTTAGTCTCATGGAGGAAGTGGCTGCTTCACTCATTCCAACAAAACATCTGTCTGAATGCTTTTTTTCTTTTTTTTGCAATTCACCCCATATATTTTAGAAATACATTTTAGAAAAAAGTTCAAATAAATTAAAAATCATCTAGTATAAAGTCCCAAAATGTTATTTAAACATAACATGGTTCAACCAAATAAAATCATATTGTACCTGGAAATAAAAGCCATTTCCTTACATGGGTTTGAAAATAATGGAGAAGCAGCTTGTATATATTATCTGTGTTTAATTACATTTTGAAGAATCTGATGTAGTTTAAGTGCAAAGTGTTTCCCAGTTTATCATTTGCAAGACCAACTGTGCTATATCAGTCTACAGGTGCATTTTGGGATTCAAGTCTCTCTTCTTCTTTTAGTAGGGTTTCAAGTACTGGTGCCATTACTAAAGCAGCCTCATCTTCATTATCCGTTTCTTCCACTAAATTGTTGTCTTCTTCATCTTTATCCTCTTTTCTAGATCCAAGTTCTAAAGCAGTATTTTCTAAAGCTTCTATATCTTCAATGCCAGCTTTATAATGAATCATAAGGAGTGTCAGGGCTTGCAACCTCTCACCTGATTTAGCCAATGCAGCAGCCAAGAGCCTTTTTTTCCTTGCATCTGTTGCTTCTTTCTTTTCTCTAATTAAGGAATTGTTGCTCTCCAGTTCCTGGTCTATTTCATATTGAAGTTTTTCCAACATAATTTCTAATTTCTGGATTCTTTCTTCTGTAGGTAAACCTCTATAAAGGTCTCGGCCAATTTCTTTCACTGCAATGAAAACACTATCATCAAGTCCTCCTTCCTTCCTTGTTAACTTAATCCCTGGAGTGGTTACTTGCTTGGAAGGGCTACTAGGGCCACCAGTATCTGTATCACTACCTTCATTATCAGAAGGATGGGGTGTCTGCTTTGGTGAAGGTTCTATCACTTCAGGTCCTTGCTCATTAATACGAACTTTAGGAACTTGACGAAGGCTTAAGAATCGGCTGCTTGTATTAAGAAGGTGTCTTGTTAGACCCGTTGCTTTATTTGCAGTTTTCAATTCTGAATCAACACGAGATCCTGGTGTGGACTGAGAATCTTGGTTTTCAAATTTAAAAGGGGGTGAAACTTGTTCAAGTCGTCTTGTGGCTCCTAAACAGAAGGGAGCATCAGTCAGACACTTTTCTTGACATTTTTTGTGGCAAACATATGCACAAACCACACATTGTGATGCTGCTTTTGTCCAAACTTTCTTTTTGCAGTAGTCACACCAAGTTGGATTTTGAAACTGAGTATCTTGGAAATTATGCCTATTTTCAGTATAACTAATTTGTCCAAAGTAAGGATCATCTTTTGAAAAAACAGGAGCTGCTGTTTCTTCTGAAATATTTTCTTTCTCTTTTTCCAACAGAAAACTTGTGTCTTCAGGTTCACCCTCTTTTAAATATTTAAAATGTATAGTGACATCACCATAACAAAACTTTTCATTGAAACCTTTGTGTGAGATCAAACTACGCAGTGCTGTTCTAGTTACTGCAGCTTTAGGTGCAGGAGGATTTAGTCGGAATAGCCTAATGAATTCCATGGAGGATGTAGCTATACAATCTAAAGCTACATCTTCAAGTTTTACACTTTCATATCCCAAACAAACCAGCCCACCTACTTTGAAAGGGTCTCTACACCAAATACCAATATTTAGGTATGTATGATCTTTTCCTACTTCAAATATGTAGGAAGAGCCTTTTGTCCTTGCCCATTTACCTGCTCGATTACGGTAAGGAATTTCTGGTGATTCCCATGAATTATGGTTTTCTACTGCCTTAGCAGTCAGTGAACAATGTGAATTCTCTGTTATGTCTTTATGTAGTTCTGATTTGCTTGTTACAGATTTAGTGATAGGCGCTTTAATATTCTGTTGAGATTCTGTACTTTCTTTTAATGTTTCTGATTTATTTGTAGTTGTTTTTAAACTCTGTGAAATTTCTAAAGGCTCCTTAGCAATTGGTTTGGATCCTGTAGATTCTTCTCCTAGATCAATAATTTTGATTACCTTTTCTGAATTCTTGTCTCCATTATTGGCAGGAAGAGGGAGCTTGTCCACTTTCTCGGAAGATAAATCGCCAGTTTCTAATTTATTTTGAACTTCACTAGAAACTGTTGACACTTTAATCTGTGGTCTGGGAGGTACAGGTGGTTTGGTTATATTTAACTGTGGCTGTTTGTTTGTCTGCTGACTTATATCCAGGTTCTCAGGACTTTTGTGTATTGCTTGTTTGGATGTCTCCTTGAAAAGTACCCTTGAAGATGCCTGATGACTTCCTAGATGTAACTTGCGATTTAACACTGGAGATAGAGTTGCAGGTGGTTTACCAGCAAGTGAAACTGGTATGTGTTTGGGACTGCTTGAAGAATCATCTTTCAGTTCACTTGACTTTAGTGCATTTGCCAGGTCTTCAAATTCTATATCTAATTCTTTGTTATCTATTTCATTCAGCAAATATTCATCTGAAAATGTTGACTCTTCCAACTGCGGAATGTTATCTTGGGTTAATGAAGTCTGCTGACTATAGCCAACTGGTCTCTCATAATATATGGTGACTCTTTCACCAGCCTGTTTGATAAGTTTTAATACTTGTACTGTTGATGTAATCCTGACTCCTATTAAAAAACAGAAAACAATAACGATTAATATTTTCTGAAGCAACTGATAAATACCTAAATCAAGAATGCTACCCAGTCAAGGAGAAGCCATGCAGTCCTTTCCCCTCCATACAGAAATTGGGATTGTCCTATGAATTTATTCCTCATCAACATTATTAATACATGTAGTAATGTAAAAATCAAGTAGAGCAATGACCATCTGCATTATAACAACAAAAATCCTATTTAAATTAAGACTGTTGATGGAGGGAGAGCCAGTATTGATGTAGTGGTTAAAGCACCAGGCTAGAAACTGGAAGATATGAGTTCTAGTTACCTCAGGCACAAAGCCAAATGAGCAACTTTGGGCCAGTCACTCATTCTCAGCCTTACTAAGGAGGCAACGGCAAACTGTTTCCAAAAATGTTGCCTAGAAAGCTGCAGGAATCTGTCCAGGCAGTTGCCAGGAATTCTGACCGGAAAGTACAAAGCAAACCAATCAGCTGATGGAGGGCTAAATAATAATGACAATAATAATTAACATATTCCCAAGGTTACAACTGGTATAATGTACTAGAAAGGAAGAAGCAGGGAGATCCAGGCTGAAGTCTTCCTTCCAACCCCAAAGATCACAGGCTGACTCTGGACAGTCACTCTCTCCTTAACCCATTTTATCTCCCAAGGTGATAAAGAGAAAAGGGCAGATAAAAATGCAACACATACACAAAATGTATCATTCTTTAAAAACACACACACACAGTATTAACACAAAACAACACTGTTCAACAGATAATAAAGATTTAGGGAATTAAAACTTCACATTTATTATTCTCTACACAAACATCACATATAGTTAACTCTTCTGTACCAAGAAAAATCGTACATAAATAGTGGCCCTGGCACTCAATTGTTTGTATCTCTTCTACTGAATGAAAACCATTTTCTCAGCAGCTGCCAAGGTTGATACCAAATACTGATGTGATTTTTTTCTGAAATATTTATGTCTTTTCATTCTCCAAATATAATGCCCCTTCAGTGTTGAAAAAAAATATATCTAAAAGCATAACAAGTATTTTTATTCTAAAAACTACACTAAAATATCATTATAGCATGCATCTGAAAACAAGTTATGATATTGTTTTATTAGGGCACTATTGCCCTCAATATAAAACTGTTTACGATTTTGCTTGGTTATGACTAATAAAGGATGAATGAAACTTTTTAATACATTTCCCAATGATATCATTTGTTATGCCTTCTGAGCAGTTCCCCAGTTAGCAAATGTTATTTAGCTTAGTTCATGTAGTTTCACTGCATACCTCCAATAGATAATAGCCTGTCGCCCCTCTGAAGATCAGCAGCAGCAGCAGCAGAGTTTGGTGTAACCGTTTCAATGACAACATGACCTGTTTCTCCTTCCTTAGCCTGTATTTGACGCAGAGTGAGTCCAATACTTGGTGAATTTCCTTTTATGAGTTCTGCCTGTGCGGGAAAAATGGAAAATAATTTTCATTGTTAATATTAGGATCTATAATTCATAAAATTAAATGTTTTTCTGCAAGCATCTTGTGCAAAATTGTACTTGAGAGAGATAAAGGTGTATATCATATAAGTACTATGCTTTAAGGGGAAATGGGTTTATAAAACACAGTATATTACACAGGTCAATATTAATTATTTCAAACAGAATATTTATTATACTTTATATCTTATTATTCAAATAGTGCTTAAAATGATCTTTTCTACCCAAATTGGATATTATTAATACAATACTTTTTCAAAAATTATTTGAAGAAGAATCTGTAATTTACAGCATACTCCCATTTAGAAGAAGAAATATAATTCATGACATCAACTAAACTAATTCATAATAAAAGAAACTGGAATTAAGAAAATTCTATAACCTTTATATTTTCTGTTCCAAGTCAAGCTGTTTTCTTATTCCAAAATTATTTACTTTCTTTGATACAAAAGCAAGCATTTTTAATATGTCAATATGTTTTATAAATGCAACCTCAAATTGGGAAAGGTTAATACTGTTAGCTAAATAGCTGGCCTATAGATAATTTTATGTTGTATTATTTATTTGTTTTTTGTTCACACCACCTTCATTCATATTTATTACATCTTTTCCTTTTCGCTAAGTTCCACAGGCATAAAGCATATGAATTTTCTTTCTTTTCTGTATTAATATATGCTCTAATATTTACTTCTCTTACATTCCAAGTTCCAATTTTTTACATACCATGATGGATACCAGATGGTCCTGGAAAAAAATATATCACAGCTGCCCATTATGGTTTTGAGGAAAATTGAGGGTTTCAAACAATGCTTTTTAGCAAGAGAGAAACAGATCAGCTTATCAATCATAGCTGATACTACTTTCCTGTTAACAATAAATATAGTAGTGGTCAGTTCTGGAACATTATGGCTAGTGTGCCACAAGTATAACTAAAACCCAGTTTGATCCCACATATACTCACACTACTCTATGCAAACAAGAAACTCTACTTTGGAGACAACGTTGTGAACCTACAGGCTGTTGGCCATTGGTAATTATAAGAAACATACAATATAATGATAGTTTCAGAATTCTCAAATCTTGGGAAATATTCTCTTCTTACAGTACTGCCCTTCTGAAATCTTAATTATGCAATGAAACATTAATTCAGTTTTGCACTTTGAATCCAACTTAATGGCATCATCATTAAATTCTTTCACGCCATTTGTATCAAATTCCAGAAAGTTGTTCACATTTCTCGCAATAAGAGATTTTGATTAATCTCACTTAACGAAGTTGCCATCACTTTTCTTCAGATATCACCGTTTTTTCCCCTGTGACTGCCCTACCTAAAACCAAGGTTCATTTGAAAACAGAGTTGTTGTAAGAAGTCCTTGTCACACCCCTGGCTCCAACAAGAAACAAGCCATTGAGTTCACAGGTGGTTGGTTAATTCACGGAACACTCTGGAATGCGGTATCCTAGCACTGGGAGCAATCACTTCCCAGTGCTCTACATACATGTCTCCCGACTGGCCCCACCCCCCCCCACCTAGCCAGCATCCAGCGTGCGCACCAGTAAGAGCAGCCAGGCTGAGACGTGGGGCAAGCTTCTGGCTTTCTGCCGCTTCTTCACGCTGGTCAGCTGTTTGGTGTGACGGCCGTGGAGCCAACACCCACTTAACTATGCTCCGCAAGGTCCCCCTTCCAGCATCCAGGTAATGGGGAAGGGAAAGCGCTGTTGCTGGCGCCTCTGTTGCTGGCCCCGTCCACTGCCTCTGGATGCCTCCATCCAATGGTCTTGTCCTCTCCTCCCCCCCTCCCGTTAGTGGCAAGCCCACAGAGGCTTGACAGTTGTTACAACAAAACAGAAATATCTTCACAACATACCACTTTCTTATTGATAACTACTTGCTCAGACCAGCTGTGCTTTGCTTGGAGCAGAACATTTCAAGCTTGAGATTGAATTGTTGTCCCTTAGTATATGTCTATTCTGATGATGATAAGTGCTGCTACAAAGGGACATCTAAGACAGGCTTACTAATTTCTGTCTGCATACATATTCTGAAACAATGAATTCTGTTAATTTTAGACAAATCACAGCAGTTGGTTCAAGTCAATAGTGAATAAAAGGCATAAGTTAAAATAAATGTAGAACATAGATTATTAACTTTACTAATAGCAGCTAAAATACGCAATAATAGGAATCAGAAGTGCTATCAACTAAAATATGGGGATCAGTACTGCTTGTAAAATCATCTATTTGCTTATCAATTCACTTGTCAACTATAAAAGATTTTTAAGTTTTATAAATTGTCTTGAAAGAGCAATGTGATTGAACACATGGAAAAATCTTTTTTTCTGAGAATTTCCAGAATCTTTTCCAGTTGAAAAACAAATGTTCAATATAAACGCTATGTTTGCCTAACATTTTAGAAACATTTATGTAAAATTCCAGTGTCAGAATCTGATTTAAATTTTAACAAATGGCCCTAATTTTCTCCTAATTATTTCAGCATACTTGAAATAACATACACTTGAACCTCCCAGAGCCCCTCCTTGGGTGATCTAGAAACATGAAATATAAATAAATAAAAACACAGAAATAATTAGTTTCTGTGGCTAGCAAGTAAACCTATCAGCAATTAGCGCAAATTGCCCAGGTATTCCAAGTAAGCTACAATTACCAAACCAGAAAAGAGAAGACACAAACTGCAAAAGCAATATAAGAGGCTGTATGTATTAGGTTGGCTTTTTAAAAAGACCATAAGCCTTTTACACAATTCTGCAGCTCTTTCATCAAAGAGAACAATTTAGCCAGTGTGATTCCTGCTGAATATGTCTTATTCTCTTTGCTAATCTTTGCTAATTGTAGCTGGGATGCTATCTCAGACCTGGAAGAAAATTATTTTTACAATTTTCACCCTCCTTATATACAGTGATAGAAAACAAAATCCTCTAATTTGGCATTTGAGCACAGAAAATTCTGAAAACTAAACTGAATCTTCAGATAGTAGATATAAATTAGATATAGTCTTTAAGGAAAAGCAAATTATCAAAAATTAGTTTTTTTTATAATATTGCTCAAAGAACCTATTTTGTTATGAGGGGTATTTAATCATAATTTAATTTAATACAGCTAAGTAATTGTTATTTGTCTTTTAAATAGTTGAAATAGGGATGGGTGTGGACAGGGGGCACAGTTTTGTGCTGGTTCACCTCCTTCCTCTAAGGCGGGTCTCAATTGGTGAATAGGGAGCAAAAGGTCCAGTTCATGGCCTCTCTTTTATGGGGTGCCACAGGGCATGTTGCTCTCTCCACATCTTTTTAACATCTACATGAAACCTCTCAATGAGAACATCTGTCATCATTAGATGGGGTATCACCAATATGATGATGCTACCATCTCTGTCCGGGCTCAAGTGAGTGATGTCCTTTTACGGTGCCTGGAGGCGGTGGGGATCTGGATGGGGAACAACAGACTTCAACTTTTTATTCTTACATTAATTCTGATTTTAATGTTAATTTTATTGATTACATTGTACATCCAGAGCCCCTCTCTGAGGGATAAGAAATAGGGAAAATATAAACAAACAAACAAACAATGTGATATTCAATTTAATGCTAATTGTAGCTCTAGACAATGAATGTATGTATGAATGAATGAATGAATGAATGTAAATTGACACCAAGTCCTGTTTAGCATGAACCAAAATTCAGTTCATGTGAGGCTAACATGTGCACAGTTAAGGTTACTAGGTTACTGTTGAAATATTTGATATTACTACAGTACTTGTTTATCTTTGTGTATGCAAAATAGACAAAAGGAAGACCCCTCCAGATGAGAGCATTACACGTTCAAAAAAAAAAGGCTTGTTATTGCATTAGAGCAAAACTTTGATATGAAGGAATAACACATTAACACGACATTTTCCTCATAAGACCAGATTGGATTGCAATTGCCATGGATGAGAATTAATTCTCTTTCTTCTACCATCAGTGTTTTCTTAACAGCATAGCTATTTGGGAGGTTACGTTTATGCACGGTAAAGATATACACTTTGCTATCAAGGAGAATTACCAAAACAACTTTCACTGTAGTTGATATAAAAGCAAAGCTGTGTTTTTAGAACTGCATCCATGTATCTCGCTATTTGCACCACAGGAAGATCATCTATTTGCACCACAAGAAGATCATCTATTCCTCATTCTTTGTGGGGATTATGTTCCAGGTAAACAGTTGTAATTAACAAGACCATGAGAAAATTTATTTTATACATGAGCAAAAATCCATTTACCATTTACTTGGACAACAAGTCTAATCTATTTCAACTGGGGATACACAAAACCACTGATAATGAGGCTTTCAATAACAATGGCTATCTGTACTATAACAATTCAATGAAACAACATAGGGAACCATAAGGAAGCACAAAATATTTCTTTTGCCAATACCCATGAATGTATGATAGAACAGAGAGACACAGGCTGATCTATCATGCATATGATACATATTTTGGAAGTTTGTATGCTGACTGGCATTTACTGGAAGAGTTTTTCTCCAAACATATTTTCTCTAATGAACTCTGAACATATCTGGTATTCTAAGAGCTCATTCAAAGTGGTAATAAGCAACTAGGCTGACCACTATTTAGAAGTCTGTACCTTCCCTTGTCTTTCCTGCATTTTCCTTTTCTCAAAAAACTGTTTTTTAAACATTTTATTGATTTTCTCCTTTTAAATTGAAGTATTTAGAAACCAACATGGTGGCTGGGTTAATCAATAATTCAATAACATACAAAAATCTTTAGTACAAATCTCAAACTATCACGTCAAACATTTCCTCTATTTTTCCTTAATATCTACTGTCTCATATTTTAAACTACCATATATTTCGGCGTATAAGGCGACTGGGTGTATAAGACGACCCCCAACTTTTGAGAAGATTTTCAGGGTTTAGAAAGTCGTCTTATATGCCGGAA